AGTATGAGAAGGCCTCAGTTCACCTCAGTATGTGGGGAAAAGACCCGAGTGTTAGTAGCCCTCAGTCTGTGAGAGGCCTCTGTGGGAGAAGGGCCTCAGTGTGTTAGTAGTCCTCAGTATGAGAAGGCCTCAGTTCACCTCAGTATGTGGGGAAAAGGCCTCTCAGTGTTAGTAGCCCTCAGTCTGTGAGAGGCCTCTGTGGGAGAAGGGCCTCAGTGTGTTAGTAGTCCTCAGTATGAGAAGGCCTCAGTTCACCTCAGTATGTGGGGAAAAGGCCTCTCAGTGTTAGTAGCCCTCAGTCTGTGAGAGGCCTCTGTGGGAGAAGGGCCTCAGTGTTTTAGTAGGCCTCAGTATGAGAAGGCCTCAGTTCACCTCAGTATGTGGGGAAAAGACCTCAGTATTAGTAACCTTCAGTCTGTGAGAGGCCTCTGTGGGAGAAGGGCCTCAGTGTGTTAGTAGTCCTCAGTATGAGAAGGCCTCAGTTCACCTCAGTATGTGGGGAAAAGGCCTCTCAGTGTTAGTAGCCCTCAGTCTGTGAGAGGCCTCTGTGGGAGAAGGGCCTCAGTGTTTTAGTAGGCCTCAGTATGAGAAGGCCTCAGTTCACCTCAGTATGTGGGGAAAAGACCTCAGTATTAGTAACCTTCAGTCTGTGAGAGGCCTCTGTGGGAGAAGGGCCTCAGTGTGTTAGTAGTCCTCAGTATGAGAAGGCCTCAGTTCACCTCAGTATGTGGGGAAAAGGCCTCTCAGTGTTAGTAGCCCTCAGTCTGTGAGAGGCCTCTGTGGGAGAAGGGCCTCAGTGTTTTAGTAGGCCTCAGTATGGGAAGGCCTCAGTTCACCTCAGTATGTGGGGAAAAGACCTCAGTATTAGTAACCTTCAGTCTGTGAGAGGCCTCTGTGGGAGAAGGGCCTCAGTGTGTTAGTAGTCCTCAGTATGAGAAGGCCTCAGTTCACCTCAGTATGTGGGGAAAAGGCCTCTCAGTGTTAGTAGCCCTCAGTCTGTGAGAGGCCTCTGTGGGAGAAGGGCCTCAGTGTTTTAGTAGGCCTCAGTATGGGAAGGCCTCAGTTCACCTCAGTATGTGGGGAAAAGGCCTCTCAGTGTTAGTAGCCCTCAGTCTGTGAGAGGCCTCTGTGGGAGAAGGGCCTCAGTGTGTTAGTAGTCCTCAGTATGAGAAGGCCTCAGTTCACCTCAGTATGTGGGGAAAAGACCTCAGTATTAGTAACGTTTGAGAAGGCCTCAGTTCACCTCAGTATGTGGGGAAAAGGCCTCTCAGTGTTAGTAGCCCTCAGTCTGTGAGAGGCCTCTGTGGGAGAAGGGCCTCAGTGTTTTAGTAGGCCTCAGTATGGGAAGGCCTCAGTTCACCTCAGTATGTGGGGAAAAGACCCGAGTGTTAGTAGCCCTCAGTCTGTGAGAGGCCTCTGTGGGAGAAGGGCCTCAGTGTGTTAGTAGTCCTCAGTATGAGAAGGCCTCAGTTCACCTCAGTATGTGGGGAAAAGGCCTCTCAGTGTTAGTAGCCCTCAGTCTGTGAGAGGCCTCTGTGGGAGAAGGGCCTCAGTGTTTTAGTAGGCCTCAGTATGAGAAGGCCTCAGTTCACCTCAGTATGTGGGGAAAAGACCTCAGTATTAGTAACCTTCAGTCTGTGAGAGGCCTCTGTGGGAGAAGGGCCTCAGTGTGTTAGTAGTCCTCAGTATGAGAAGGCCTCAGTTCACCTCAGTATGTGGGGAAAAGGCCTCTCAGTGTTAGTAGCCCTCAGTCTGTGAGAGGCCTCTGTGGGAGAAGGGCCTCAGTGTTTTAGTAGGCCTCAGTATGGGAAGGCCTCAGTTCACCTCAGTATGTGGGGAAAAGGCCTCTCAGTGTTAGTAGCCCTCAGTCTGTGAGAGGCCTCTGTGGGAGAAGGGCCTCAGTGTTTTAGTAGGCCTCAGTATGGGAAGGCCTCAGTTCACCTCAGTATGTGGGGAAAATGTCCAAGGTGGGAGCGAGAACTCTTGTCTGTTGGAGGCAAGTGTGAATGTTGCAGTTGACCACCTTGATTAGCATTGAATAGCCTTGCAGTTCCAAAGTCTGGTTGCTTCCTGCCTGGGGGTTCTTTGTTGGGAGGTGTTAGCTGGCCCTGGAATTCCACAGATATATATAAACCCCACTTGCCTAGTTTCCAATAGACTTCACAACTTTTGAGGGCACCTGCCATAGATGTGGATGAAACATCAGGAGAGAATGCTTCTGGAACATGGCCAGACAGCCTGGAAAACTCATAGCAACCCAATATAAGTATTAACAAGGGTGCCTTCTTAGTGCCTCTGGGGAGCCAAAGGAGGTCAAACTGGCCTTCCAAGAAAGCGGTGAAGCAGCGTTCCCATATGTCCAAGGGGCCAAACTGACCCTGGCCCTGCCTTCCTCTCTTCCAGGGCTGGCTTCTTTGGGACCATTGTGGAATACGGGGCAGAGCGGAAGATCTCCCGGCACAGCGTTCTGGGGGCCACCGTCAGCGTCGGGGTACCCCAAGGAGTCTCCCTCAAGATCAAGTGAGTCCTGGCTTTTCTCAAACAAGTACAGATTGAAAACATCCAAAACATAATTGATAAATGGATAGATGTGATAGAAGAGAGTGAGATAGATGAGAGATAGAGTAAACAAAGAGATGAGAGATAGAAGAATCAAAGAGATGAGAGATAATCATCATCATCATCATCATCATCTTGATTTATGCCTCGCCACCATCTCCCCGATGGGGACTCGGAGCGGCTTACATGGGGCCAAGCCTGGACAACACATTACAGCAAAAAAATCAAAACATAAACAAACAACAACAACATCACCGTACATCTATATAAATAAAAATGTAATGTATGTTTGTGGGATTAACAGAACTCAAAAGCCTCTGAACAAATTGACACCCAATTTGGACACAAGACACCTAGTTGTAGGTTGTTGTAGGTGAACTACAACTCCCAAACCTTGAGTTTGGGAGTTGTAGTTCACCTACATCCAGAGAGCACTGTGGACTTAAACAATGATGGAACTGGACCAAACTTGGCACAAATATTCTGAAGATATGTGCCTCTAAGAGTTAAGAAACATTGAAACCGTTAAGCTTCTTCTATACTTCAATAAACTTGTATATAAATAAAAATGTAATGTTCGTTTGTGGGATTAACAGAACTCAAAAACCACTGGATGAATTGACACCCAATTTGGACACAAGACACCTAACAACCCAATGTTGAAAAGAATTGATTTTGTCATTTAGGAGTTGTTGTTCCTGGGATTTATAGTTCACCTACAATCAAAGAGCATTCTGAACTCCACCAATGATGGAATTGAACCAAACTTGGCAAACAGTTCTCCTATGACCAAAAGAAAATACTGGAAGGGTTTGGTGGGCAGTGTCCTTTGGTTTTGGAGTTGTAGTTCACCTACATCCAGAGATCACTGTGAACTCACAATGATGGATCTGGACCAAACTCTACACAAAGACTCCATATGCCCAAATGTGAACACTGGTGGAGTTTGGGGAAAATAGAATCTTGACATTTGGGAGTTGTAGTTGCTGGGATTTATAGTTCACCTACAATCACAGAGCATTCTGAACCCCACCAACGATAGAATTGGGCTAAACCTCCCACACAGAACCCCCATGTGGGCCATAGCAACGCATGGCAGGGGACGGCTAGTATTAACATAAAACATATGCATACATAACAATGTAAAAAAATTACAAAAAGCACAGGCGCAATAACAACAACATCAAATATCGGTAAAAATAGACTCAAATAAATGAATTGTGTGTTGGCTTGCAAAGGGGTGGGCCTACTAGAGCTGATGCGCATGGCTTCCTCTCTAGGCTGAACCGAGCCAGCCAGACCTATTTCTTCCCCATCCACCTGACGGACCAGCTCCTGCCGAGTGCCGTCTTCTACGCCACGGCCGGGCCCTTGGTGATCTACTTCGCCATGCACCGCCTCATCATTCGGCCCTACCTCCGGGCTCAGAAGGAAAAGTAAGTCTCTCTGTTGCACCAATGGGGGATTCCTCTGCGTTGGACAAGACCCCCTCTGGGTACCCAGAACGCTCCTTTCTTTCATCTAGGGAGCTGGAGAAGCATCGCGAGAGCAGCGCCAGCGAAACACTGCAGAAGAAGCAGGAGGCCGAAGCCGCAGTAAGCCTCTCTATCCCTGTCCAGACACCTCTCAACCCTGTTCCTCTGACCCGCAGCTCTTCCAGGTTCTTCTCAGTAACCTATGCCGGAAGGGGGTTGGACTGGATGACCTTTGGGGATCCCTTCCAATTCTTGCCTTCTACGACTCTTTGGTCTCCAGGCCTTTCCCAGCTCATTGGCATCCTTCTTGGGCCTTCCTTTCCTTTCCAATCTTTTTTTGTAGTTCGGCCTTTTGAGATGCTTTCACTTCTTCCAGGTGCGGTTGATGCAGGAGTCGGTCCGGAGGATCATTGAGGCCGAAGAGGCCAGGATGGGTAAGAATGAGGGTGGAAACCCCTGGGAGCCGTTTAATATGACTTATTTAACTTTAATCTGGAATTGAGTCCTCAAAGTATGGCCCACGGGCCAAATTCAGCCTACAGGCCAAATCCTGTTTACCAAGGCCTTTTGCTCCCCACCCCACTCCCACCGCTACCCTGCTGTGGAAGAAAGGAAAGACGCACCAAAGGAAGGAAGAAGGAGGGAGGAAAGGAAGGAAGGAGGGAGGGAGGGAGGGAGGGAGGGAGAGACCACTGTATTGGGCCTTTCTCCTTCATGGTCTCTGTGAAATGCGCACATATGGTAGCTGATGCACCTGTGCAGCAACTACCATATGTGCGAATTTCACAGATGACCACTAGAAGAAACATGGCTACGGGTAAGCAACCTGTAGCATCACATCTTTATTTCATGTCTGCCCCTTTATATTCCTCCTGTGGCACGACGTAGAATTGTATTGTCGCGCTTTATCTCACAACTCAGCAGCAAATCAGTTGCACAACTTCAGCGCTTTCCAGTAGCTTCTTCCTGCACTGTATTTTCAGTCAACTGCTCCCACAAACTACAGTCACTCTGGAACTCTTTACAGGCACTTGAGCACATGCCTGGCTGTTGTCAGTTTTACCATTGTCCTTCCCCTCCAATCTAGATGACACTACAAACTTACCACAGCACACGGTTATATCTTGTCTTAGCAGACAGGTTCCTTTAATACATTATATAGAGCCTTCAACGAACAGCATCACAGCACAAGGAGAGATACACACTGTATATGACTTCCTTATATACAATTCTATACAATTACACATCGCAATCTCTGATTGGTTCCCAACTCATTGACTTAACTCAAACCCAGGATTGCATCATTCACAATCACCTGGACTAGGCCAGAACACATTCCCCAAACGATTTCCTATATACAGTTAATGCATGACTCAGCATTTCCAATAGAAGCCTATTAGCAGTGCATGACTCAGCTATATTACATTACAATACATTGTAAACCCCTTTTTGCCACAGCTTCACACAATTTGTGCTTCCTTGTGTTTCTTGTGAGTGTTGGGACTCACGAGCGCCTCGTTTCCGTCCCCTGCCAGGCCTGATCGTGGTCAACGCCTGGTACGGGAAGTTCGTCAATGACCAGAGCCGGAGGAACGAAAAGGTGAAGGTCATTGACGTGACGGTGCCTCTGCAGTGCCTGGTCAAGGACTCCAAGCTCATCCTGACGGAAGCCTCCAAGGTAAGGGTCATGGCAACTGGAAAGGAGGGAGGGAGAAAGTGTGGGATGGAGGGGAAAATGTGGATGGAAATATATATAGATGGGTGGGAGGAAGAAAAGAATGAAAGATAGATGGGAGGGAGAGATATAGATGGAAATGGGTAGGTGGGTGGAAGGAAGGATGAGAAGATGGATGGGAGGAAGGGAGGGAGGAAGTCTAGATGGAAGGATGGATGGATGGATGAAAAGAAAGAAGGGAGGGAGAAAATACTGCTGGATGGAAGGAAGGCAATGTGGATGGATGGATGGATGGATGAAAAGAAAGAAGGGAGGAAGGAAGAAAGGGTGGATGGATGGCATGGATGGATGAATGGATGAAAAAGAAGGGAGGGGAAATATGGCTGGATGGAAGAATGGATGGAAGGAAGGAAGGCAATATGGATGGATGGATGGATGGATGGATGAAAAGAAAGAAGGGAAGGAGAAAAATGGCTGGATGGAAGAATGGAAGGAAGGAAGGCAATATGGATGGATGGATGGATGGATGGATGGAAAGAAAGAAGGGAAGGAGAAAAATGGCTGGATGGAAGAATGGAAGGAAGGAAGGCAATATGGATGGATGGATGGATGGATGGATGGAAAGAAAGAAGGGAAGGAGAAAAATGGCTGGATGGAAGAATGGAAGGAAGGAAGGCAATATGGATGGATGGATGGAATGAAAAGAAAGAAGGGAGGAAGAAAGGATGGATGGATGGATGGAAGAAAGGAAAGCAAGATGGATGGTTGGATGAAAAGAAAGGAGTGAGAAAATATGGCTGGATGGAAGAATGGATGGAAGGAAGGCAATATGGATGGATGGATGGATGAAAAGGAGGGAGGGAGAAAATATAACTGGATGGAAGAATGGATGGAAGGAAGGCATGATGGGTGGATGAAAAGAAAGAAGGGAGGGAGATAAATGGCTGGATGGAAGAAGGGATGGAAGGGAGGAAGAAAATATGGTTGGATGGAAAAATGGATGGAAGGAAGGCAGTATGGATGGATGGATGGATGAAAAGAAAGGAGTGAGAAAATATGGCTGGATGGAAGAATGGATAGAAGGAAGGAAGACAATATGGATGGATAAAAAGAAAGAAGGGAGGGAGAAAATATGGCTGGATGGAAGGAAGACAATATGGATGGATGGATGAAAAGAAAGAAGAGAAGGAGGAAAAATGGATGGAAGGGAGGCAATATGGATGGATGGATGGATGAAAAGAAAGGAGGGAGAAAATATGGCTGGATGGAAGGAAGGGATGGATGGATGGATGAAAAGAAAGAAGGGAGGGAGAAAAGATGGCTGGATGGAAGAATGGATGGAAGGAAGGCAAGGATGGATGGATGGATGGAAAAGAAGGAAGGGAAGAAAGAGAGGGAGGGATATGATGGATGGATGGATGGATGGATGAAAAGAAAGAAGGGAGGGAGAAAATATGGCTGGATGGAAGAAAGGATGGAAGGAAGACAATATGGATGGATGAAAAGAAAGAAGGGAGGGAGAAAATATGGCTGGATGGAAGAATGGATGGAAGAAAGGAAGGCAATATGGATGGATGGATGAAAAGAAAGGAGTGAGAAAATATGGCTGGATGGAAGGAAGGCATGATGGATGGATGAAAAGAAAGAAGGGAGGGAGAAAATATGGCTGGATGGAAGAATGGATGGAAGGAAGGAAGGCAATGTGGATGGATGAAAAGAAAGAAGGGAGGGAGAAAATATGGTTGGGTGGAAGAATGGAAGGAAGGAAGGAAGGCAAGATGGTTGGTTGGATGGAAAGAAAGTAGGGAGGGAAAAATATGACTGGATGGAAGAATGGAAGGAAGGAAGGAAGGCAATATGGATGGATGGATGAAAAGAAAGAAGGGAGGGAGAAAATATGGCTGAATGGAAGAATTGATGGAAGGAAGGAAGGCAAGATGGATGGATGGATGGATGAAAATAAAGGAGGAAGAAAATATGGCTGGATGGAAGAATCGATTGAAGGAAGGAGGGCAGGAAACATGGATGGATGTAACTGAGGGAGGAAATGTGGATGGAAGGAAAGAAGGGAGGAAATAGGAATGGAAGGAACTATGGCTGGATCTTCAAACTGCATTGAGGCCAGGATCGCATCCTGCCGCTATGATCTCCCATGAGCCCCTTCTCTCCCCTTCCTCTCCCTCTCCCTCTCCCGCTTCCTCAGGCCGGTCTCCCAGGGTTCTACGATCCTTGCGTTGGGGAAGAGAAGAGTCTCAAGGTGCTCTACCAGTTCCGGGGCGTCTTGCACCAGGTCATGGCTTCCGACAGCGAGGCCCTCCGGATACCAAAGCAATGTGAGTTGACACAACAACAACAACAACAACAACAACAAGAGACCCCAAGAGCCCAGCCCCATTCTGCAATGCAGGGAGATACCATCTTCCCTCCCTTATTACTTCCTTTCCTTCTTTCCTCTCTTTTCCTCATTCTCCTTCTTCTGTTTCCATCTGCTTCTCTGGCCCTGGAACTCAACAAAAAAGCTCCTGTTTTGTAGCAGGTTTCCTATGAGGCGGGTGAGGTGGTCATCCTTTGTGATACTATACATTTTTCTCAGGAGGAGGCGGTGGTTCACAGTCTCATAGGCTGCTGACAGGTCTCTGAAGACAGCTCCTGTGATCTGCTGCCTTTCAAAGCCATCTTCTCTGTGCTGAGTCAGGTTCAGCACTTGCGATGTGCAGCTTTTGCCTTTCCTGAAGCCAGCTTGCTGTGGGATCAGACAGGGGTCTATTCTTTCCGTAATTCTATGCAAAATAAGTCTCTCTAGTAGAAGAACATGGCATCCCAATGGAACTTCTCTTTGCGGCTTCTTCTGTGTCAGGGTAGAGAAAGAAGGAAGGAGAGAAGGAGGGAGAGAAATAGAGGGAGAAAGGGGGAAAGAAGGAGGGAAGGAGAGAAAGAAGGAAAGAAAAATGGGTAGAGAAAGAGGGAGAGAAAGAGGGGAAGAAGGAGGGAAGGAGAGAAAGAAAGAAAGAAAGAAAGAAAGAAAGAAGGGTAGGGAAGGAAGGAGGGAAAGAGGGAGGGAGACAAAAAGGGAAAGAAGGAGGGAGGGAGGGAAAGAAAGAAAGGTAGAGAAGGAAGGAAAGAGAAAAGGAGGGAGAGAAAGAGGGAAAGAAGGAGGGAAGGAGAGAAAGAAGGAAAGAAAGAAGGGTAGAGAAGGAAGGAAGGAGAGAAAGGGGGAAAGAAGGAGAGGGAAGGAGAGAAAGAAGGAAAGAAAGAAGGGTAGAGAAGGAAGGAAGGAGAGAAGGAGGGAGAGAAAGAGGGAGGAAAGGAGAGAAAGAAGGAAAGAAAGAAGGGTAGAGAAGGAGAGAAAGAAGGAAAAAAAGAAGGGTAGAGAAGGAAGGAGAGAAGGAGGGAGAGAAAGAGGGAAAGAAGGAGGGAAGGAGAGAAAGAAGAAAGAAAGAAGGGTAGAGAAGGAAGGAAGGAGAGAAAGAGGGAAAGAAGGAGGGAAGGAGAGAAAGAAGGAAAGAAAAATGGGTAGAGAAAGAAGGAGAGAAGGAGGGAGAGAAAGAGGGAAAGAAGGAGGGAAGGAGAGAAAGAAAGAAAGAAAGAAAGAAGGGTAGAAAGGAAGGAAGAAGAGAAAGAGGGAAAGAAGGAGGGAAGGAGAGAAAGAAGGAAAGAAAGAAGGGTAGAGAAGGAAGGAAGGAGAGAAAGAGGGAAAGAAGGAGGGAAGGAGAGAAAGAAGGAAAGAAAGAAGGGTAGAGAAGGAAGGAAGGAGAGAAAGAGGGAAAGAAGGAGGGAAGGAGAGAAAGAAGGAAAGAAAAATGGGTAGAGAAAGAAGGAGAGAAGGAGGGAGAGAAAGAGGGAAAGAAGGAGGGAAGGAGAGAAAGAAAGAAAGAAGGGTAGAGAAAGAAGGAAGGAGAGAAAGAAGGAAAGAAAGAAAGAAAGAAAGAAAGAAAGAAAGAAAGAAGGGTAGGGAAGGAAGGAGGGAAAGAGGGAGGGAGACAAAAAGGGAAAGAAGGAGGGAGGGAGGGAAAGAAAGAAAGGTAGAGAAGGAAGGAAAGAGAAAAGGAGGGAGAGAAAGAGGGAAAGAAGGAGGGAAGGAGAGAAAAGGAAAGAAAGAAGGGTAGAGAAGGAAGGAAGGAGAGAAAGAGGGAAAGAAGGAGGGAAGGAGAGAAAGGAGGAAAGAAAAATGGGTAGAGAAGGAAGGAAGGAGAGAAGGAGGGAGAGAAAGAGGGAAAGAAGGAAAGAAAGAAGGGTAGAGAAGGAAGGAAGGAGAGAAAGAAGGAAAGAAAAATGGGTAGAGAAAGAAGGAGAGAAGGAGGGAGAGAAAGAAGGAGAGAAGGAAAGGTAGAGAAGGAAGGAAGGAAGGAAGGAAGGAAGGAAGGAAGGAGATAAAGAGGGAAAGAAGGAGGGAAGGAGAGAAAGAAGGAAAAAAAGAAGGGTAGAGAAGGAAGGAGAGAAGGAGGGAGAGAAAGAGGGAAAGAAGGAGGGAAGGAGAGAAGGAAAGAAAGAAAGAAAGAGGGAGAAAGGAAGGAAGGAGAGAAAGAGGGAAAGAAGGAGGGAAGGAGAGAAAGAAGGAAAGAAAAATGGGTAGAGAAGGAAGGAAGGAGAGAAAGAGGGAAAGAAGGAGGGAAGGAGAGAAAGAAGGAAAGAAAGAAGGGTAGAGAAGGAAGGAAGGAGAGAAAGAGGGAAAGAAGGAGGGAAGGAGAGAAAGAAGGAAAGAAAAATGGGTAGAGAAAGAAGGAGAGAAGGAGGGAGAGAAAGAGGGAAAGAAGGAGGGAAGGAGAGAAAGAAAGAAAGAAGGGTAGAGAAAGAAGGAAGGAGAGAAAGAAGGAAAGAAAGAAAGAAAGAAAGAAAGAAAGAAAGAAAGAAAGAAGAAAGAAGGGTAGGGAAGGAAGGAGGGAAAGAGGGAGGGAGACAAAAAGGGAAAGAAGGAGGGAGGGAGGGAAAGAAAGAAAGGTAGAGAAGGAAGGAAAGAGAAAAGGAGGGAGAGAAAGAGGGAAAGAAGGAGGGAAGGAGAGAAAGAAGGAAAGAAAGAAGGGTAGAGAAAGAAGGAAGGAGAGAAAGAAGGAAAGAAAGAAGCATAGAGAAAGAAGGAAGGAGAGAAGGAGGGAGAGGAAGAGGGAAAGAAGGAGGGAAGGAGAGAAAGAAGGAAAGAAGGGCAGAGAAAGAAGGAAGGAGAGAAAGAGGGAGGGAAGGAGAGAAAGAAGGAAAGAAAGAAGCATAGAGAAAGAAGGAAGGAGAGAAGGAGGGAGAGGAAGAGGGAAAGAAGGAGGGAAGGAGAGAAAGAAGGAAAGAAGGGCAGAGAAGAAAAGAAAGAAGGAGAGAAGGAGGGAAAGAGGGAGGGAGACAAAGAGGAAAGGAAAGAGTTAGACAGGAAATCCATATCCAGGCAAGGCTAGTAGAAGAACATGGCTTCTGTTCAACCATCTCAAAGCTCCCTGCTTGAGTGGTAATGGCACGATCATCAGCATAGATGAACTCTCTGTCCCTTCTGGCAGTGGCTGGTCATTTGTGTAGATGTTGAACATGGATGGAGCAAGCACGCTCCCCTGAGGCAGGCCGTTCTTCTGTTTCCGCCATCTGCTTCTCTGGCCCTGGAACTCAACAAAAAAGCTCCTGTTCTGTAGCAGGTTTCCTATGAGGCGGGTGAGGTGGTCGTCCTTGGTGATATTATAGGAGGCGGTGGTTCACAGTCTCATAAGCCGCTGACAGGTCTATGGACAGCCTTTCAAAGCCATCTTCTATGTGCTGGGGGAATACACTGCACACGACTTCCTTATATACAATCTGTACATTTACACATAGCAATCTCTGTTCAGCACTTGCGATGTGCAGCTTTTGCCTTTCCTGAAGCCAGCTTGCTGTGGGATCGGACAGGAGTCTATTTTTTCCATAATTCTATGTAAAATAAGTCTCTCCAGGACTTTGTAGAGGTGTCTAGTAGAAGAACACGGCTTCCCAATGGAACTCCTCTTTGCGGCTTCTTCTGTGTCACCTTCCCTTTTCTTCCTTCCCACAGCGCACCGCATCGACACAGACAGCTAATCGGGGAGGAGCGGTTCAGCGGGTTTGGGGCGACGCCGTGCCACCTTTGGGGGATCATGAACCTATGGGGACGGCGCCTCTCTTTCCCCCCTTTCCCTGGATCTGACGACATCTTTGCGGCGATTGTGTCATGGGACAAATCCGAGAGTGAGAACCGTGAACAAGGCCGGCATCCGGGTCCGAGATCGGGAAGGCCCGTCCCCTTCTTGAAAGGAATTGGGGGCTCGTGAAGGACCTTTACCTCCGCCCCGAATCCAGGGAAACCATCACATTAGTGGGTGGGAGAGGCCTCCACTCAGGCGGGACGTCCTTAGATCCGCAAGAAACTCATCAAGACGGAAGGAGCTGAGAGTGGGATAGAAAGGGTGCCAAATTGGGATCGAAGCTAGTGCTGTATCTCCCTCTTGGAAGAGGAAACACGTTCTGGGTTTGCTTTCGGAGTGCCTTCCTTCACTGTATGCAACGGGGAGGGGTCCACAATAAATGGGTCGCCGGCCACCAAATTCTCCCAACACACTCGCAACATTGGGCCCCACTTCCCTTCTGTCCTCTCTTGTATCTATATGACTATCCGGGTACTGCCATTGTCCTGGGTGGAAACGGATCAGGGATTTCAAGGCTTCCTGTCCATTGTTTTTCCCCTTTCTCCCGAAAATCAGGTGCTCCACTCATCCTTTTTTTTGGCCTTGACCCATCCTATTCCTCGGGTTATCCATTCCTAAATAACCCATTACTTTTCCACCCCCAAAGCTTCCTTTCATGTGGATGGAATTAAAATAATAATATCTGAGTGGTCATAGTGCTGATGGTATTGGGTGCATTCTGGGTTTCATCCTTGGATGGAGTCACACAAAGCCATTGAGGACCCTGAAGAGTCATGGACTCTTGAGCATTCCTGATCTCTTTGGAAGAAGCACATCAATGGGTTTAGTGACAGCTAAAGAGGACTTTCGAACAGGAAGGACAAGAGACCTCTTCCAGAAAATTAGAAACATCAGGGGTAAAATTCAGGCAAAAATGGGCGTGATCAAAAACAAAGATGGCAGGGACCTAGCTGAAGGGATCACGGTGGCGAGAAAATCCGGATCTGGAAGGCTTGCCAGACATCAACGTTTATTACAGCCAATCAAAGACAATAGGAAAGGCTGGCTCGCAGGCCCCCAGGACTCGCTGGCCGCTTGGACATTTCCTATCTTCAATAATCCTCTCAAGAATCCATTGTTTCCCTCTCGTCCCGCCTCCCTCTCTCCTTATTCGTCAGGACGCCGAGGCGGCAGAAGCCCAGCGATTGGCACAGGCACTCAGGAGGCGGCCAAGCCTCCTCCCAGCTGTAGGGCGCCAGCCAATCACAGTCGAGCGGGCAGAGGGGCGGGGAGCAGGAAATTCAAACCTGACAACTCTGTTTCTGTATAAAAAAGGCTTTTTAGAACCAGACATCCTGAGGCGTGAGGTTGAACGTGCCTTGGAAGCAAAGATGGCAGTGACCTAACAGAAGCTGAAGGGGATCCCGATGACGAGACTATACAAAAGGTCTCTTTAGGAAGGATAATAAGATCGAGGATAGTTTGAACGGTGTGGTGAGTGAATTAGAACCAGACATCCTAAGGCGTGAGGTTGAATGGGCCTTCAAAACAAAGATGGCAGGGACCTAACAGAAGCTGAAGGGATCCCGATGACGAGACTATACAAAAGGTCTCTTTAGGAAGGATAATAAGATCGAGGATAGTTTGAACGGTGTGGTGAGTGAATTAGAACCAGACATCCTGAGGAGTGAGGTTGAATGGGCCTTCAAAACAAAGATGGCAGGGACCTAACAGAAGCTGAAGGGATCACGGTGACGAGACTATACAAAAGATCTCTATAGCAAGGATAATAATATCGAGGGTAGTTTGAACGGTGTGGTGAGTGAATTAGAACCAGACATCCTGAGGAGTGAGGTTGAATGGGCCTTCAAAACAAAGATGGCAGGGACCTAACAGAAGCTGAAGGGATCACGGTGACGAGACTATACAAAAGATCTCTATAGCAAGGATAATAATATCGAGGGTAGAACAGTGTGGTTATTTATTTCTCGTGTCAGGGCAGCCAGTCAATTAGATTACATTTCTAACAGAATAAAACAAACAGACTCACAAAATTTGTGAGTTTGGTAGTTGATTAAATGTCCTTTGACCAGTATCTGGCCACTTGGAGTGCCTCTGGTGTTGCCGCAAGGAGGTCCTCCACGGTGCATGTGGCAGAGCTCAGGTTGCATTGCAGCAGGTGGTCAGTGGTTTGCTCTTCTCCACACTCACATGTTGTGGATTCCACTTTGTGGCCCCATTTCTGAAGGTTGGCTCTGCATCTCGTGGGCCAGAGCGCAGTCTGTTCAGCGCCTTCCAAGTCTGTGTGCCCAGCGGGGAGTCTCTCATTTGGTCTCAGCCATTGGTTGAGATTCTGTTTCCGCCCTCTGCTTCTCTGGCCCTGGAACTCAACAAAAAAGCTCCTGTTTTGTTGCTGATTTCCTTGAGTGGTGATGGCAAAGTCATCAGCATAGATGAAGCTCTCTGTCCCTTCTGGCAGCGGCTGGTCATTTGTGTAGATGTTGAACATGGATGGAGCAAGCACGCTCCCCGTTCTTCTGTTTCCGCCATCTGCTTCTCTGGCCCTGGAACTCAACAAAAAAGCTCCTGTTTGGTAGCTGATTTCCTTGAGTGGTGATGGCATGATCATCAGCATAGATGAAGCTCTCTGTCCCTTCTGGCAGTGGCTGGTCATTTGTGTAGATGTTGAACATGGATGGAGCAAGCACGCTCCCCGTTCTTCTGTTTCCGCCCTCTGCTTCTCTGGCCCTGGAACTCAACAAAAAAGCTCCTGTTTTGTAGCAGGTTTCCTATGAGGTGGTTGTCCTTTCTTCTTCCAAGTTGCCCAGTTTTCTGTGTGCCCAGGGGGGAGTCTCTCATTTGGTATCAGCCATTGGTTGAGGTTCTGGGTTTGAGCCTGCCACTTTTGGACTCTTGCTTGCTGTGGTGTTCCAGCGAGTGTCTCTGTAGATCTTAGAAAACTATTTCTAGATTTAAGTCGTTGACGTGCTGGCTGATACCCAAACAGGGGATGAGCTGGAGATGTCTCTGCCTTGGTCCTTTCACTATTGGCTGCTACTTTCCCGGCGGATGTCAGGTGGTGCAATACCGGCTAAGCAGTGTAATTTCTCCAGTGGTGTAGGGCGCAGACACCCTGTGATAATGCGGCATGTCTCATTAAGAGCCACGCCCACTGTTTGAGTGTGGCTTGCGGGTCTCTTCCAACTCGAAGATTGTGTTCAGTGAGGGCTCCAAGTAATAATAACTTTCATAAGACGCTATATGCAGGCGTAGGCAAACTTTGGCCATCCAGGTGTTTTGGATTTCAACTCCCACAATTCCTTCCAGTCCTGGCCTACCCTGGGCGCATTCCTTGCCCAGAGCAGGTGAGGAAAAGGAAGTCCTTCAGCTGCGCCTGGAAAGGGAAGGAGGGGAAAGGGAGCAGACAGGAGCCGAGGGCCTGGATCCAGGAAGTCCTGCTCCCCACGCGCTCTTCCGCTTTGGTGAGGACACTTCACCTGGAATCTTATTGTGTCCAATTCTGGGCATCACAACTTCCAGAGAGATATTGACAAGCTGGAATGTGTCCAGAGGAGGGCGACTCAAATGATCAAGGGTCTGGAGAACAAGCCCTATGAGGAGCGGCTTAAGGAGCTGGGCATGTTTAGCCTGAAGAAGAGAAGGCTGAGAGGAGACATGATAGCCATGTATAATATGTGAGAGGAAGACACAGGGAGGAGGAGGGAACAGATCAAGGGTCTGGAGAACAAGCCCCATGAGGAGCGGCTTAAGGAGCTGGGCATGTTTAGCCTGAAGAAGAGAAGGCTGAGAGGAGACATGATTAGAGCCATGTATGAATATGTGAGAGGAAGACACAGGGAGGAGGAGGGAACAGATCAAGGGTGTGGAGAACAAGCCCCATGAGGAGCGGCTTAAGGAGCTGGGCATGTTTAGCCTGAAGAAGAGAAGCCTGTTCTGGAGAACAAGCCCTATGAGGCGCGGCTTAAGGAGCTGGGCATGTTTAGCCTGAAGAAGAGAAGGCTGAGAGGAGACATGATTAGAGCCATGTATGAATATGTGAGAGGAAGACACAGGGAGGAGGAGGGAACAGATCAAGGGTCTGGAGAACAAGCCCCATGAGGAGCGGCTTAAGGAGCTGGGCATGTTTAGCCTGAAGAAGAGAAGGCTGAGAGGAGACATGATTAGAGCCATGTATGAATATGTGAGAGGAAGACACAGGGAGGAGGAGGGAACAGATCAAGGGTCAGGAGAACAAGCCCCATGAGGAGCGGCTTAAGGAGCTGGGCATGTTTAGCCTGAAGAAGAGAAGGCTGAGAGGAGACATGATTAGAGCCATGTATGAATATGTGAGAGGAAGACACAGGGAGGAGGAGGGAACAGATCAAGGGTCTGGAGAACAAGCCCCATGAGGAGCGGCTTAAGGAGCTGGGCATGTTTAGCCTGAAGAAGAGAAGGCTGAGAGGAGACATGATGAGAGCCATGTATGAATATGTGAGAGGAAGACACAGGGAGGAGGAGGGAACAGATCAAGGGTCAGGAGAACAAGCCCCATGAGGAGCGGCTTAAGGAGCTGGGCATGTTTAGCCTGAAGAAGAGAAGGCTGAGAGGAGACATGATTAGAGCCATGTATAAATATGTGAGAGGAAGCCACAGGGAGGAGGAGGGAACAGATCAAGGGTCTGGAGAACAAACCCTATGAGGAGCGGCTTAAGGAGCTGGGCATGTTTAGCCTGAAGAAGAGAAGGCTGAGAGGAGACATGATTAGAGCCATGTATGAATATGTGAGAGGAAGACACAGGGAGGAGGAGGGAACAGATCAAGGGTCTGGAGAACAAGCCCCATGAGGAGCGGCTTAAGGAGCTGGGCATGTTTAGCCTGAAGAAGAGAAGGCTGAGAGGAGACATGATTAGAGCCATGTATGAATATGTGAGAGGAAGACACAGGGAGGAGGAGGGAACAGATCAAGGGTCAGGAGAACAAGCCCCATGAGGAGCGGCTTAAGGAGCTGGGCATGTTTAGCCTGAAGAAGAGAAGGCTGAGAGGAGACATGATTAGAGCCATGGATAAATATGTGAGAGGAAGACACAGGGAGGAGGAGGGAACAGATCAAGGGTCTGGAGAACAAGCCCCATGAGGAGCGGCTTAAGGAGCTGGGCATGTTTAGCCTGAAGAAGAGAAGGCTGAGAGGAGACATGATTAGAGCCATGTATAAATATGTGAGAGGAAGACACAGGGAGGAGGAGGGAACAGATCAAGGGTCAGGAGAACAAGCCCCATGAGGAGCGGCTTAAGGAGCTGGGCATGTTTAGCCTGAAGAAGAGAAGGCTGAGAGGAGATATGATAGCCATGTATAAATATGTGAGAGGAAGACACAGGGAGGAGGAGGGAACAGATCAAGGGTCTGGAGAACAAGCCCCATGAGGAGCGGCTTAAGGAGCTGGGCATGTTTAGCCTGAAGAAGAGAAGGCTGAGAGGAGACATGATTAGAGCCATGTATCAATATGTGAGAGGAAGACACAGGGAGGAGGAGGGAACAGATCAAGGGTCTGGAGAACAAGCCCCATGAGGAGCGGCTTAAGGAGCTGGGCATGTTTAGCCTGAAGAAGAGAAGGCTGAGAGGAGACATGATTAGAGCCATGTGAATATGTGAGAGGAAGACACAGGGAGGAGGAGGGAACAGATCAAGGGTCTGGAGAACAAGCCCTATGAGGAGCGGCTTAAAGAGCAGGGCATGTTTAGCCTGAAGAAGAGAAGGCTGAGAGGAGACATGATAGCCATGTATAAATATGTGAGAGGAAGTCAGGGAGGAGGGAGCAAGCTTGTTTTCTGCTGCCCTGGAGACTAGGATGCAGGAACAATGGCTTCAAAGTACAGGAAAGGAGATTCCATCTGAACATGAGGAAGAACTTCCTGACTGTGAGAGCCATTCAGCAGTGGAACTCTCTGCCCCGGAGTGTGGTGGAGGCTCCTTCTTTGGAAGCTTTTAAACAGAGGCTGGATGGCCATCTGTCAGGGGGTGCTTTGAATGTGTTTTTCCTGCTTCTTGGCGGAATGGGGTTGGACTGGAGGATGGCCCAGGAGGTCTCTTCCCACTCTAGGATTCTGATTCTATGATTCTATAAATAAATAAATAACACAGGTCCATGACAGAGGCTGATTGGCGAGGAGTGGTGCCGGGGGCGTGGCCGAGCTCTGGGTTTCATGGCTAGAAACTGATTGGTGGCCTTGGCTGTGGGGGGCGTGGCTGATAAACCGATTGGTGGGAAGGGTTGTAGTGGGCGTGGCCGAGCGGAGGGCTAGAGCCTGATTGGTGGGGGAACCCCGGGGCGTGGCCAAAGAGCCAGGCGGCCATTTGGGTTGGTTTGATTGGTGGGAAGGGTTGTGGGGGGCGTGGCTGGGTTTGCCATGGCTAGAGACGGATTGGTGGGGCTGGCTGTCGGAGGCGTGGCCGCCATGGCTAGAGACCGATTGGTGGAAAGGGTTGTAGGGGGCGTGGCCGAGCGCGGGGCCGCCATGGATGGAGACTGACTGATGGGAAGGGATGTAGGGGGCGTGGCCGCCTTGGCTAAAGCCTGATTGGTTAGGAGTATTGGCGGGGGCGTGGCCGAGCGGGGGGTGGGCCACCACGGCTAGAGACTGATTGGTGGGGAGGGTTATAAGGGGCGTGGCCGAGCTCGGGGCCGCTATGTCTAGAGACTGATTGCTGAGGAGTGTTGCCGTGGGCGTGGCCGAGCGGGGCTAGGGGGCGTGGCCGCCACGGCTAGAGATTGATTGGTGGGATGGATTGCGGGGGGCGTGGCAACATAAAGGGTCAGGAGAACAAGCCGAGCGCTGGGGCTCGGCGTGGCCGAGCGCTGGGGCTAGAGACTGATTGGTGGGAAGAGTTGTAGGGGGCGTGGACTGAGCGCGGGGCCGCCATGGCTGGAGACTGATTGGTGGGAAGGGTTGCGGCGACATCTACGTCACCTGGAAGGCTAGAAACTGATTGGTGGCCTTGGCAGTGGGGGGCGTGGCCTCCACGGCTGGAAACCGATTGGTGGGAAGGGTTGTAGTGGGCGTGGCCGAGCGGAGGGCTAGAGCCTGATTGGTGGGGGAACCCCGGGGCGTGGCCAAAGAGCCAGGCGGCCATTTGGGTTGGTTTGATTGGTGGGAAGGGTTGTGGGGGGCGTGGCTAGAGAGCCATGAAAGGGGTTGGCTGTGGGACAGAGACTGATTGCTGGGATGGATTGCGGGGGGCGTGGCCAACGTGGCTAGAGAGACCGATTGGTGGGAATGCTTCTAGGGGGCGGGTCCGAGCGCGAGGCTAGATCCTGATTGGTGGGGAGGACTCCGAGGCGTGTCCAAAGAGCGAGGCGGCCATTTTGGTTGCTTTGATTGGTGGGAAGGGTTCTAGGGGGCGTGTCCTAGCGCGAGGCCGCCCTGGCTCGATCCTGATTGGTGGGGAGGACTCCGGGGCGTGTCCAAAGAGCGAGGCGGCCATTTTGGTTGCTTTGATTGGTGGGAAGGGTTCTAGGGGGCGTGTCCTAGCGCGAGGCCGCCCTGGCTCGATCCTGATTGGTGGGGAGGACTCCGGGGCGTGTCCAAAGAGCGGGGCGGCCATTTTGTTCCAAGATGGCGCCTCCTGAGGAGAGTGGTGAGGCCTCTGAGGAGTCTGAGCACGCTTGCGGCCTTCTGCGCGGCCTGGGCCTCCTGAGGGCGGAGCGGGCGCTGCTGGACGTGACCCTCTTGGCCGGGGGAGCCGAGTTCGGGGCGCACCGGGCGGTGCTGGCGGCCTCCTCGGGCTACTTCCGCGCCATGTTCGGGGGAGGCCTCTTGGAGGCCCGGGCGAGGCGGGTGAGGCTGCACGGGGTGGAGGGAGAGTGCTTGGGCCGCCTGCTGGACTTCGCCTACTCGGGGAGAGTGTCCTCCTTGGGCCTGGACGACGAAGACGAGGACGAGGAGGCGTGCCTGGAGAGCCTGGCGGGGCGCTTGCTGAGGGCGGCGGATCTCCTCCAGTTCCCGGCGGTGAAGGCGGCCTGCGCGGAGTGGATCGCGGCCCGGCTGGACCCCTCCACGGCGCTGGAGACGGAGGACTTCGCGGAGACCTTCTCCTGCCCGGACTTGGCCGCCGCGGCACGGCGGTGCGTCTTGCGTCACGCCGCAGAGGATGACGACGAGGATGTGATGTCGTCCTCCTCCTCCTCGAGGGGCCACCACGAAGTGGGCCCTGCCACCACCGAAGCCTCGGCCTTGACGTCCGCGATGTGCCGCCTCCCGCTGTCCCGCTTTGTCTCCTACCTCGGCGCCGACGCCCTGCACGTGCGCAAGGAGGAGGCGGCCTTCTCGCTGGCGCTGCGCTGGGTGCGCTCCGACCCGCTCTTCCGCGCCCCGCTCCTCCCGCAGCTGCTCTGCCACGTCCGGCTGCCCTTCGTGCGCCGCTTCGCCCTGCTGGCCCGTGTGGAGGCCGCCCCGGAGGTGGCGCGCTCCCCCGCCTGCCGCCCCTTGCTGGCCGAGGCACGGCTCTTCCAATCCGGACGGCTGGACCGACACGACCGCGGCCCCTGCGCCCGCCTCCGCCCCCGGCCCTCCACCGGCTTGGCTGAGGTGCTCGTCACCCTGGGAGGATGCGACCGAGACTGCGATGAGCTGGCCGCTGTGGACGCCCTGCTGCCCAAGAGCAAGACCTGGCGCTACCTGGCCGAGTTCCCCGAGCGCCTCGGCGGAGGGTACGCGGCCGTCGCACGTGGGAACGACATTTACGTCACCGGTGAGGACACCCTCCCTCCCTCTGCCACAACATTATTATTATTATTATTATTAACTTTATTTGTACCCCGCTAGCGTCTCCCAAAGGACTCAATGCAGCTTACAAAGGCCAAGGCCTCAAAACACAACATAGCAATACAAAACCTAAAGCAAATTATAAACATCCCTGAGGAAAAGGCAGTTGGCGCCTCCAGGCAGGGAGGACTGGGGTCTCTAATGCAGTCGTGGGCACACTTCGGCCCTCCATGTGTTTTGGACTTCAACTCCCACCATTCCTAACAGCCTCATAGAATCAAAGAGTTGGAAGAGACATCCTGGGCCATCATCCAGTCCAACCTCATTGGGGGCCCCTTCCGCTAACCCTTTGAGAAGCAAAACAACCACCACCTCCTCCTCAAAGAATCATAGAATCGAAGTGTTGGAAGAGTCCAACCCCATTCTGCCAAGAAGCAGGAATATTGCATTCAAAGCACCCCTGACAGATGGCCATCCAGCCTTTGTTTAAAAGCTTCTAAAGAAGGAGCCTCCACCACACTTCCCCTGGGGCAGAGAGTTCCACTGCTGAACGGCTCTCTCAGGCCCCTTCCTTTTCCCCCTCAGCCGCTTAAGCGTTATATCTATTTCTTGAGATATGAAGATAGGCATCATTTAGGTCTATTGCTGTATCATCTAGCTTAAGCAGCTGAGGGGGGAAAGGAAGAGGCCCGAGGCTGTGAGGAATGGTGGGAGTTAAAGTCCAAAACATCTGGAGAGCTGATATTTAACCATGCCTGTCCTAACAGATGAGGTCCTGGGCAGAAATGCAGTAACACAGGAAGGCAGGTCGTTCAGGGCTTTGTGGGCACCTTGAATTGGACCAGATATGAGGTTCTGGGCCCATAACCTGTCAGAGGAAAATTGTTTGACATGTACATATATCTAAGTAGAATGTTGGGCCCATAATCTGTCAGAGGAAGGTCAAGTGTCTCTAAAAGATGAGGTTGGGATTATTTGAGAAAGGCATTGTGTTCTTTATCAGTTAGTAAAGGTACTGCGACTCCCATCGTGCATGGTCCACCCTCCTCCAAACAGCCCCTGGATGTAGAGTGGGTTATGGTGGCTCTGTGTGCCAAGTTTGATCTTGCTTTGTTATTGGTGAGGGTCACAGTGATCCCATGAAGTGTTTGAAGGTACTGCAGGTCCCATCATCCATGGTGAATCCTCCTTCAAACCACAACAGGTGGCTCTCTGTGCCAAGTTTGGTCTAGATCAGTCATTGGTGAGGGTTGCACTGGTCTCAGCAAGTTTAGGTACTACAAGTCCCATCATCTGTGGTCCAACCTTCTTGGAACTGCACCAGGATGTAGAGTGATTGGTTGGGGGGGGGGTGCCAAAATACTGTTTGCTTACCGTCGAAAATTACCTAGGGCCGCCTCTGCTGGTATGTAACAGATGTGGCTTTGGGCCCATAACCCGTCAGAGGAAAAGTGTCTGACTGCAACTCTATTTACTTCAAGCCAAAGCATGTCTGTTGACGCTGAACATCCTGGCGAAAATGAGGGTTAGAGCGGCGTAATCCAGTAATCTTAGGGTTGAGGCAAAGCCAAAGGGGAGACTACGTTCCTTGAGGGACCTCCTCTCTCATTTAACGGGCATGACTCAAGGGGATGCCACCCTGGGAGTTGTAATTTGGGGAGGCACCCGCATTCTTGGAAGTGTCATACCTTGTCAAGCCACAGCCCTTGTTTTATTTATTTATTTGTCGTGTCATGGGCAACCAGGCCATTGGATTACATTTCTAACAGAACAAAAACAAACAGACAAAACAAAATTTGCAAGCTTGGTAGTTGATGACATGTCCTTTGAGCAGTCTGCTTCTCTGATCCTGGAACTCAACAAAAAAGCTCCTGTTCGGTAGCTGATTTCCTTGAGTGGTGATGGCACGATCCTCAGCATAGATGAAGCTCTCTGTCCCTTCTGGCTGTGGCTGGTCATTTGTGTAGATGTTGAACATGGATGGAGCAAGCACGCTCCCCTGAGGCAGGCCGTTCTTCTGCTTCCGCCATCTGCTTCTTTGGCCCTGGAACTCAACAAAAAAGCTCCTGTTCGGTAGCTGATTTCCTTGGGTGGTGATGGCACGATCCTCAGCATAGATGAAGCTCTCTGTCCCTTCTGGCTGTGGCTGGTCATTTGTGTAGATGTTGAACATGGATGGAGCAAGCACGCTCCCCTGAGGCAGGCCATTCTTCTGCTTCCGCCATCTGCTTCTTTGGCCCTGGAACTCAACAAAAAAGCTCCTGTTCGGTAGCTGATTTCCTTGAGTGGTGATGGCACGATCCTCAGCATAGATGAAGCTCTCTGTCCCTTCTGGCTGTGGCTGGTCATTTGTGTAGATGTTGAACATGGATGGAGCAAGCACGCTCCCCTGAGGCAGGCCGTTCTTCTGCTTCCGCCATCTGCTTCTTTGGCCCTGGAACTCAACAAAAAAGCTCCTGTTCGGTAGCTGATTTCCTTGAGTGGTGATGGCACGATCATCAGCATAGATGAAGCTCTCTGTCCCTTCTGGCAGTGGCTGGTCATTTGTGTAGATGTTGAACATGGATGGAGCAAGCACGCTCCCCGTTCTTCTGTTTCCGCCCTCTGCTTCTTTGGCCCTGAAACTCAACAAAAAAGCTCCTGTTCTGTAGCTGATTTCCTTGAGCGGTGATGGCACGATCATCAGCACTCCAGTGGTGTAGGGCGAGGACACCCCGTGTCTGCTCTCTGTCCCTTCTGGCAGTGCTGGTCATTTGTGTAGATGTTGAACATGGATGGAGCAAGCACGCTCCCCTGAGGCAGGCCGTTCTTCTGTTTCCGCCATCTGCTTCTCTGGCCCTGGAACTCAACAAAAAAGCTCCTGTTTTGTAGCAGGTTTCCTATGAGGTGGGTGAGGTGGTAGTCACCCAGTCTTCTGTGTGCGCAGGGGGGAGTCTCTCATTTCGTATCAGCCATTGGTTGAGGTTCTGGGTTTGAGCCTGCCACTTTTGGACTCTCGCTTGCTGGAGTGTCTCTGTAGATCTTAGAAAACTATTTCTTGATTTAAGTCGTTGACGTGCTGGCTGATACCCAAACAGGGGATGAGCTGGAGATGTCTCTGCCTTGGTCCTTTCACTATTGGCTGCTACTTCCCGGCGGATGTCAGGTGGGGCAATACCGGCTAAGCAGTGTCATTTCTCCAGATACCTCGTGATGATGTGGCATGTCTCATTCAGAGCCACATCCACTGTTTTAGCGTGGTGTTTTAGCATACTCAGCAGCAGAGTAGCACAGCGCAAAGGCAGATGTCTTCACTGTGTCTGGTTGTGATCCCCAGGTTGTGCCAGTCAGCTTTCGTATGATATTATTTCTAGCGCCCACTTTTTGCTTGATGTTCAGGCAGTGCTTCTTGTAGGGCAGAGCACAGTCCAGAGTGACTCTTCCCAGGTACTTGGGTGCGCTGCAATGCTCCAAGTGGGTTTCCTTCCTTCCCAGGTCATAATCCTCAGAGCTCGGGATGCTTGTCTGTTCTTGAGATGAAAGGCCAATACCCAATACACCCAAATGTGAATTCTAGTGGGGTTGGGGGAAGATTGATTTTGTAATTTGGGAGTTGCAGTTGCTGGGATGTATAGTTCACCTACAATCAAAGAACATTCTGAACCCCATCAATGATTAAATTGAACCAAACTTGGCACACAGAACTCCCTTGACCAAGAGAAAATACTGGGAGGATCTGGTGGACATTGGCCTTAAAATTTTGGAGTTGTAGTTCACCTTCAACCAGAGAGCACTGTGGACTCAAACAGTGATGGATCTGGACCAAACTTGGCACGGTTACTCAATATGCTGAAATGTGAACACTTGAGAAAAATAGACCTTAACGTGTCAAGATGTGACATGTAGAGGTCGGAAGTTGTGTTGTGGTTAAGTTCAAAGGTTGTGGTTAAGCGCAGAGTCTGCAGGTACAAGAAGGTATTTTCCATCTAAAGGTCAAGGGAGGGGTCTGGAAAGAGAGTAAAAACTTGGTGAGCAAAAGGTAATGGCAGAGTTTTTCCTAACAAAGGTACTTTTGGCTCTTCCCACAATTTCCCCTTTGGTTTTGGAGTTGTAGTTCACCTCCATCCAGAGAGTCCTGTGGACTCAAACAATGATGGATCTGGACCAAACTCTACACGAAGACTCAATATGCCGAAATGTGAACACGGGTGGAGTTTGGGGAAAATACAATCTTGACATTTGGGAGTTGTAGTTGCTGGGATTTATAGTTCACCTACAATGAAACGACATTCTGAACCCCACCAACGATAGAATTGGCCCAAACTTCCCACACAGAACCCCCACAACCAACAGAAAATAGTATGTTTTCTGATGGTCTTTGGCGACCCCTCTGACACCCCCTCGCGATCCCCACAGGGGTCCCGACCCCCAGGTTGAGAAACACTGACCTATAGGAATACAGTAGAAAAACCTGTTAGAAGAATGTTTAGTCTCTACTAGCTGTACCCGCTGCTGGGGAAAGGGGAAGGCAAAAGGAAGAGGGGCCGACCAAGGGCAAGATGGATGGATGGCATCCTTGAAGTGACTGGACTGACCTTGAAGGAGCTGGGGGTGGTGACGGCCGACAGGGAGCTCTGGTGTGGGCTGGTCCATGAGGTCATGAAGAGTCGGAGACGACTGAACGAATGAACAACAACAAAGCTGTACCCGCCAATCTTCCCTCCCTCTTTCTCTCTCGCCTTCCTTCTCTCTTTCCTTCGTTCCTTCCTTTTTCCCTTTCCTTCCCTCTTTCCTTCCTCCCTACCCCCCTTTCTTTCTTCTCTCCTTTCTTTTCTTTCTTTCCTTCCTTTGCTCTTTGCTTCCATCCCTCCTTTCTCTCTTTTCTGCTTTCTTTCCCTTTCTTTCTTCTCTCCTTTCTTCTCTCTCCCTCTTCCTTCCTTCTTCCTTTCTTCCTTTTCCTTCTCTCTTTTCCTCCCTCCTTCCTCTTTCTTTTCTTTCCTTCTTTCTCTCCTTTCTTCCTTCCCCTTTCTTTCTCTCCTCCTTCTCTCCCTCTTTCCTTCGTTCCTTCCTTTTTCCTTTCTTCTCTTTCCTTCCTCCCTACCCTTTTCTTTCCTTCTTCTCTCTTTCTTCCTTCTCTCCCTCTTTCTTTTCTTTCTTCCTTTGCTCTTTGCTTCCATCCCTTTCTCTCTTTCCTGCTTTCTTCCCCCCTCTTTTCTCTCCTTCCTTCTTCCCTCTCTTCCTTCTTCCTTCCTTTTTTCCTTTCCTTCTCTCTTTCCTTCCTCCCTACCCTTTCTTCTTTTCTTTTCCTTCTCTCCCTCTTCTTCCTTCCTTTGCTCTTTCTTCCTCCCTCTTTCTCTTTCCTGTCTTCTCCATTCTCTTTCTTCTCTCCTTTTTCCTCTTCTTTCTCTCCTTTCTTCCTCTTTCCTTCGTTCCTTTCCTTTTTTCCTTCCTTCTCTCTTTCCTCTCCTCCCTCCCTACCTCTCCCCCCTTTTTTTTTTCTTTTCCTTCTTTCTCTCCTTTCTTCCTTCTCTCCCTCTTTCTTTCCTCCTTCCTTTGCTCTTTCTTCCATCCCTCTTTCTCTTTCCTGCTTCTTTTCCCGCTCTATAAATCCCAGAACTACAACTCCCAAATGACAAAATCAATTTTTTGAATGAAGGACATACATTGAGTTGTTAGGTGTCTTGTGTCCAAATTTGGTGTCAATTCGTCCAGTGGTTTTTGAGTTCTGTTAATCCCACAAACGAACATTACATTTTTATTTATATACAAGTTTATTGAAGTATAGAAGAAGCTTAACGGTTTCAATGTTTCTTAACTCTTAGAGGCACATATCTTCAGAATATTTGTGCCAAGTTTGGTCCAGTTCCATCATTGTTTAAGTCCACAGTGCTCTCTGGATGTAGGTGAACTACAACTCCCAAACTCAAGGTCAATGTCCACCAAACCCTTCTAGTGTTTTCTGTTGGTCATGAGAATCCTGTATGCCACCTTTGGTTCAGTTCCATCATGGGTGGAGTTCAGAATGCTCTTTGATTGTAGGTGAACTATAAATCCCAGCAACTACAACTCCCAAATGACAAAATCATAGTTTGCAGGGTAGAGTGGCCTGGAGAAAAATCTGGTATTGCTAACCTAGTCCAATACCCTTTGAGACCTTTCAGGAGTGTTTTAGTGGTGGATGCCTGCATGACGGAAGGGGTCTGGGGGGCCTTTGTGCCGCTACAGGCGCTGACCGACTGCCCCGTCTTCCTCCCTCCTCCTCGCAGGGGGCTCAGATGGCTCCCGCCTCTACGACAGCACCTGGCGCTACAACTCGGCCGTGAACGAGTGGACGGAGGTCTCGCCGATGCTGAAGGCCCGGGAGTACCACAGTGCAGCGGTGCTGGACGGCCTGCTGTACGTGGTGGCGGCCGACAGCACTGAGCGCTACGACCCGGAGCTGGACGCCTGGGAGGCCCTGCGCCCCATGCCCTTCCCCATGGACAACTGCTCGGCCAGCGCCTGCCGGGGGAAGCTCTACGCCACAGGGTCCCTGGCCGGGAAGGAGGCCATGGTCATGCAGTGCTACAACCCCGAGGCCGACCTCTGGAGCATGGTCAACTGCGGGCAGACGCCCCCCTGGTCCTTCGCCCCCAAGTCGGCCACCCTCAGCGGGATGATGTACTTGTGAAAGGTAAGCGGGGGGGGGGGGGGAGGAAGGAGTACCCTTCAGATGGGGACTTGGGGCAGCCATAATAATAATAATAATAAATAATCTTTATTTATACCCCGCCACCATCTCCCCAACAGGGAATCGGGGCGGCCTTAATAATAACAACAATAAAAATAATAAACGTTATTTATACCCCACCACCATCTTCCCCAACGGGGACTCGGGGTGGCCATAATAATAGTAATGATAATAATGATAATAATGATAATAATGATAATAATGATATTTATTTATACTCCGCCACCATCTCCCCCAACGGGGACTCGGGGCGGCCTTCATAATAATAATAATAATAATAATCTTTATTTATATCCCACCACCATCTCCCCCAACGGGGACTTGGAGCGGCCTTAATAATAATAATAATAATAATAATAATAATAATAATAATAATAATAATAATAATAATAATAATCTTTATACCCCGCCACCATCTCCCCCAACGGGGACTCGGGGTGGCCATAATAATAATAATAATAATACTATTCTTTATTTATACCCCGCCAACATCTCCCACAATGGGGACTCGGGGCAGCCTTAATAATAATAATAATAATAAACTTTATTTATATCCACCATCATCTCCCCCAACAGGGGGACTTAGGGGGGCCTTAATAATAATAATAATAATAATAATAATAATAATAATCTTTATTTATTATTATTTATTATCAGGGGGGCCTTAATAATAATAATAATAAAATAATAATAATAATAATCTTTATTTATACCCCGCCACCATCTCCCCCAATGGGGACTCTGGGTGGCCTTAATAATAATAATAATAATAATAATAATAATAATAATAATAATAACTTTATTTATACCCGCCACCATCTCCCCCAACGGGGACTTGGTGTCAACATATTACAGCAAGATAAAACCAAAACATAAGCAACAAGCTACAGCATTAATGTCAGGGGAAACCAGCACTATTAATGTCAGCCAGCACTATTAGCGATGACCGCATTCCTGTCAGCATTGCCCCATCTTCTCCTCAAAGAGGCCCTATCGCCTCCTTGTTTTTCCTTTTTCTACTGACATAAGAAAAGAAGCCCTTTTTATTGTTTTTAATGTCCCTGGCAAGCCTGAGCTCGTTTTGTGCTTTAGCCTTGCGGACCTTTTCCCTAGAGGTGTTGGCTATTTGTTTGAATTCTTCTTTGGTGATTTCTCCCTTTTTCCACTTCTTGTGCATGTCTCTTGTGTTTTCGCACAGTTAGAAGTTCTTTGGACATCCATTCTGGCTTCTTTGCACTTGCCCTTTTTTTTTCTCTTTGTTGGCACAGTTTGCAATTGCAACTTGAGTATTTCACTCTTGAGAAATAGCTGCTGCATTTCCCACCCTAGGCTTATACTGGAGCCAATACATTTTCCCAGTTTTTGTGGTAAAATTTGGTGAATTCTTCTTTGGTGATTTCTCCCTTTTTCCACTTCTTGTGCATGTCTCTTTTGTGTCTTAGCACAATTAGAAGTTCTTTGGACATCCATTCTGGCTTCTTTGCACTTGTCCTATTTTTTCTCTTTGTTGGCACAGTTTGCAGTTGCAACTTGAGTATTTCACTCTTGAGAAATAGCTGCTGTATTTCCCACCCTAGGCTTATACTGGAGCCAATACATTTTCCCAGTTTTTGTGGTAGAATCATAGAATCAAAGAGTTGGAAGAGACCTCATGGGCCATCCAGTCCAACCCCCTGCCAAGAAGCAGGAATATTGCATTTAAATCACCCCTGACAGATGGCCATCCAGCCTCTGTTTAAAAGCTTCCAAAGAAGGAGCCTCCACCACACTCCGGGGCAGAGAGTTCCACTGCTGAACGGCTCTCACAGTCAGGAAGTTCTTCCTAATGTTCAGATGGAATCTCCTCTCTTGTAGTTTGAAGCCATTGTTCCGCGTCCTAGTCTGCAAGGAAGCAGAAAACAAGCTTGCTCCCTCCTCTCTGTGGCTTCCTCTCACATATTTATACATGGTAAAATTAGGTGAATTCTTCTTTGGTGATTTCTCGCTTTTTCCACTTCTTGTGCATGTCTCTTGTGTCTTAGCTCAGTTAGAAGTTCTTTGGACATCCATTCTGGCTTCTTTGCACTTGTCCTATTTTTTCTCTTTGTTGGCACAGTTTGCAGTTGCAACTTGAGTATTTCACTCTTGAGAAATAGCTGCTGTATTTCCCACCCTAGGCTTATACTAGAGCCAATACATTTTCCCAGTTTTTGTGGTAAAATTAGGTGAATTCTTCTTTGGTGACTTCTCCCTTTTTCCACTTCTTGTGCATGTCTCTTTTGTGTCTTAGCACAGTTAGAAGTTCTTTGGACATCCATTCTGGCTTCTTTGCACTTGTCCTATTTTTTCTCTTTGTTGGCACAGTTTGCAATTGCAACTTGAGCATTTCACTCTTGAGAAATAGCTGCTGTATTTCCCACCCTAGGCTTATACTGGAGCCAATACATTTCCCCAGTTTTTGTGGTAAAATTAGGTGAATTCTTCTTTGGTGATTTCTCCCTTTTTCCACTTCTTGTGCATGTCTCTTTTGTGTCTTAGCTCAGTTAGAAGTTCTTTGGACATCCATTGTGGTAAAATTATCGGTTTATATTCGAGTTGGCTTATACTCAAGTATATATGGTTGCTTAGTATGCTTTTTAAATGCTGAAATTTAAAGAATTCTTCAAACTGGATTGATTGCAAGCCACCCAGAGCTCATATGAGAGGGATCGGATATCAGCACTTTAATAATAGATAATACGGCAATAACCGTGACTCGAGTCTTCCCCGTTTTCTGCGTTTCAGCTTACAGCAAGGTCAAGGACCGGGCCTCTGGATGTCTTTTGCCCTTTGCAAGGAAAGTAGGCTCTGTGGCTCCCGGCCCTTGGTCCTGACTGATGGCGCAATCCAGATTCCTCTCTAATCTGGAAGGAAAGAGGCGCCAAAGTCTTAAGCGCATGACCCAGCCGGAGCCCAAAATAGTCCCGAAAGTGGTTGCTTTTTCAGCTTGACTTTCAGAGAGGTCAACTGGGGGAAGAAGGGATGCAGCTTTCCCAGTTGAGACTGGGACTCTTGTCCATTTGTTACAGTCCGATTCTGGTGTCCCATTCCCCCCCCCCCCCCCCACCAAGACCTTTGGAAGGTCTGTTTCCACAGCAAAGAGATCTTGCGGAACTTGGATGCATTGGGAATGTGCATTCAGAGACCTCCAATGACCTATAACAGCATTGCAAGGAGACCAATTCTGGACTGAATTCGGCCCAGAAGTAATCTATATATATAAAAATCCTCATGTCGTCATTAGTACCTTAAAAACAAAAGAACCAATGAACGAAATCACACCAAATTTGGCGACAAAACGTCTCACAACACAAGGAGTGACCGTCACTCAAAAAATTATGATTTTGCCATTTGGGAGTTGTAGTTGCTGGGATTTATATCTATATATATAAAACTGCTCTGGGCGTCGTGAGTACCTTAGAAACAAAAGAACCAATGAATGAAATCACACCAAATTTGGCAACAAAACGTCTCCCAACACAAGGAGTGACCATCACTCAAAAATTATGATTTCTCCATTTGGGAGTTGTACTTGCTGGGATTTATAGTCCACCTACAATCAAAGAGCATTCTGAACTCCACCAATGATGGAATTGAACCAAAGTTGGCACACAGGACTCCCATGACCAACACACTAGAAGGGTTTGGTGGGCATTGACCTTGCGTTTGGGAGTTGTAGTTCACCTACATCCAGAGAGCACTGTGGACTCAAACAATGATGGATCTGGACCAAACTTGGCACGAATACTCAATATGCCCAAATATGAACACAGATGGAGTTTGGGGGAAATAGACCTTGACATTTGGGAGTTGTAGTTGCTGGGATTTATAGTTCACCTATAATCAAAGAGCATTCTGAACTCCACCAATCGATAGAATTGAACCAAACTTGGCGCACACATCTCCCATGACCAAGAGAAAAAAACTGGAAGGGTTTGATGGGCATTGACCTTGAGTTTTGGAGTTGTAGTTCACCTACATCCAGAGAGCACTGTGGACTCAAACAATGATGGATCTGGACAAAACTTGGCACGAATACTCAATATGCCCAAATGTGAACACTGATGGAGTTTGGGGAAAATAGACCTTGACATTTGGGAGTTGTAGTTACTGGGATTTATAGTTCACCTACAATCAAGGAGCATTCTGAACCCCACCAACGACAGACTTCCCACACAGAACCCTCATGACCAACAGAAAATGCACGATAAATAAAATAAATTATTATTATTATTATTATTATTATTATTATTATTATTATTATTATTTGTCGTGTGAGCCAATGCAACAGCCAGCAGAGCGATCTTGTTTGCTGTGTACTAGTCTTGTTATGTTTCAAGTGGCACCTTTGTGGCTCGAGGTGGGGTATCAACACCATTCCAACACCTTTGCTTTCCTCTCCACAGAGATGACTCCGCTGAAGTGGACGTCTACAACCCGGCCAAGAACGAATGGGACAAAATTCCCCCCATGCTCCAGGTACGTCTCACAATTAAAACTTGTGCACCGTACCTCGGGAAGTCTGACTTGGCCACAGTGGTCCATGCTTTGGTTCCATCCCGTTTAGACTACTGCAACGCTCTCTACGTGGGGCTGCCTCTGAAGACTGCCCGGAAGCTGCAGCTTGTCCAACGCTCGGCAGCCAGACTACTAACGGGTGCTGGGTCCAGGGAGCACACCACTCTGCTGTTACTCGAACTCCACTGGCTGCCAATGAGCTTCCGAGCACAATTCAAAGTGCTGGTGTTGACCTATAAAGCCCTAAACGACTCCGGCCCTGTTTACCTCTCCGAACGTATCCTCCCCTATGAACCATCAAGATGATTAAGATCATCTAGAGAGGCCCTGCTCTCGGTCCCACTGGCCTCGCAAGCGCGCCTGGTGGGGACGAGGGACAGGACCTTCTCGGTGGTGGCCCCTCGACTCTGGAACTCTCTCCCACTGGAGACCAGAACCGCCCCGTCTATCCTGACATTCAGGAAACAGGTGAAGACGTGGTTATGGAGACAGGCATTCGACGAGTGAGATATGGATGGAAGATGATGTACAGTCGATTTTAGTATGACGACTGACCATTGTAGTTATTGAATATATTTGCTGTTTTGAATGTGTTATTGAAATATGAATTACAGTATATTCTGGTGTATAAGACTACTTTTTAACCCAAGAAAATCTTCTCAAAAGTCAGGGGTCGTCTTATACACGGGTGTAGTCTTATGCATGGGAGTCGTCATAACTCTACATTTTAACTGGAAAAGTTGGGGGTTGTCTTATACGCCCAGTCGTCTTATATGCCGGAATATACGGTATGTTGTTTTACTGACTGTATGTGATTTTATGGTTGGAAACTGGTCTGAGTCCCTCAAAAGAGGGGAGAAGGTCAGTATACAAAACTTTTAAATAAATAAATAAATAATAAAAGAGTTTCCAAAAGGTGAATTAATAATAATAATAATAATAATAATAATAATAATAATAATAATAACAACTACTTTATTTTTATACCACGCCAGCCATCTCCCTGTAAGACTGTAGGATCTAAATAGCAATATTAAATAACTACTCACAAGCCGGTTTTGCTTTGAAATGGATATATTGCTTGTATCTCTGCAGCAAAGGAAGACACTACGGACTTTTCCCCACCACCACTTCCTTTTAGACACCTTTCCTGCCCATCTCCCCCTCTTCTCAGTGTCCTTATTAGAGTTTGTTGCTTCACAAGTTCCAACACAAGGTTCCCAGCGCTCTCTGCTGGCTTCAAAATGTCACAGAGAGAGAATTGAGGCAGCCAGGATGATTCAGTCAGGATGTCACGGAGGGAATTTGTGATGTCTTCATGCCGTCGGAAATTGACTCCTGACACTCCCCTAGGGGACTCGGGGCGGCTTACAAGGGACACACCCAAAATTATAATTAAAACACACATATAAAACACTTTAACCAATTAAAACATCAGATGAAACAAATAAAGCTGACATGGGGTCGTCTTCTCTGTTTCCCTCCCAGGTTCACGTCGGGGGCAGCTTAGCAGTGCTCGGGGGCAAGCTGTACGTCTCGGGGGGCTACGACAACACCTTTGAGCTGTCCGGGCTAGTGGAGTCGTACGACCCGGAAACCCGGAAATGGAGTGCCGCGGCCCAGCTGCCGGAGCCCATCTTCTGGCACAGCAGCGTCAGCATCTTCCGGCAGTTTTTGCCCGGCAGCCTGGACGAGGAGGAGGACGGCGGGGAGGAAGAGGCCCCCCTGGACAACGCCGCCAGCCTCCAGCGCCAGCATCGCCAGAACCTCCACAGCCGGAATCTGAACGAGTTGCGTTAACAGGATTCAGGAGGAGGAGGGAGAGATCCCATCCACTTTTCTTGCGTGGCAAACCAGAGAAGAAGCGCCATTCGCTTCTGGGATTTGGGGGTCCTTCAGCCTTGCAACCTCAGAAACCTTCCTCCAGTGTCTGCCTTGTAGGAATCGCAGATGCCGAACATCATCGCAATCCTTAGAGGACGGATTATTCCGGAGCACCAGACTGTAAACAGATGGAAAAGCTCCCCAAAGGCCTCATTGGGAGGAGAGGGTCCCCAAACTCTCCTTCTCGGCAAAGGATCCCTTAGATCTGGGGATCGTTTGGTCCTCGAAACTCAAAAGTTATTGTGTTGTTATAGGAGTAGCAGATCTATGCAGATGCGTGTTGTAATAGAACAGGAAGCTGACTGTGCTCGCCTGTGTCCCGTTGCTCAACCTGGGGGTCGCGACCCCTGCAGGGGTCATGAAGGGGTGTGAGAGGGGTCGCCAAAGACCATCAGAAAACACGGTATTTTCTCTTGGTCATGGGGGGGTTCCGTGTGGGAAGTTTGGCGCACTTCTATCATTGGTGAGGTTCAAGGGGCTCTTTGATTGTAGGTGAACTATGAATCCCAGCAACTACAACTCCCAAGTGTCAAGGTCTATTTTCCTCAAACTCCTCCTGTGTTCACATTTGGGCATATTGAGTATTTGTGCCAAGTTTGGTCCAGATCCATCCTTCTTTGAGTCCAGTGCTCTCTGGATGTAGGTGAACTACAACTCCCAAACTCATGTCAATGCCCGCCAAGCCCTTCCAGTGTTTTCTGCTGGTCAGGGGAGTTGTGTGTGGCAAGTTTGGTTCAATTCCATTGTTGGTGGAATTCAGTGGACTCAAACAAGCAAGACCTTACCCTTCAAGAGCCATTACTCACCCCACAGAGTTCAAGGATGGCAAAGCCAGCGGACCGGATGGGACCAAACTCTACACGAATACTCAATATGCCCAAATGTAAACACTGGTGGGGTATGTGGGAAATAGAATCTTGACATTTGGGGGTTGTAGTTGCTGGGATTTATAGTTCACCTAGAATCACAGAGCATTCTGAACCCCAACAACAGTAGAATTGGGGTGAACCTCCCACACAGAACCCCCATGTGGGCCACAGCAACACGTGGCAGGGAACAGCTAGTAAGATCAGTAATATCCCTCCAAGGCCAACGATTCAGGCTTTGGGGTCACATGGAGCCATTGTCCCATATATGTTTCCCTTGAGCCCAGCTCAGCCTTTCAAAACATGATCTTGGTCATATCTGAATTTTAGGGGGATACTCACCCCAGAGTTCAAGGATGGCAAACCCAGCGGACCTGATGGGATCCCTTCTGAAATCTTTAAAGATGAGTAATAGCTCTTGAATTCCTATTTGGGTGGCAATGGCTCTTGAAGGGGAGCAAGACCCCACCTGTCAAGAGACACCCCTCAGAGTTCAAGGATGGCACAGCCAGCGGACCTGATGGGATCCCTGCTGAAATCTTTAAAGATGAGTTAAGGCTCTTAAATTCCTCTTGTGGGGTGAGTAATGGCTCTTGAATTCCTATTTGGGTGGCAATGGCTCTTGAAGGGGAGCAAGACCCCACCCTTCAAGAGCCATTACGCACCCCTTCAAGTATGGCAAAGCCAGCGGACCTGATGGGATCCCTGCTGAAATCTTTAAAGATGAGTAATGGCTCTTAAATTCCTCTTGTGGGGTGAGTAGTGGCTCTTGAATTCCCATTTGGGTGGCAATGGCTCTTGAAGGGGAGCAAGATCCCGCCCTTCAAGAGCCATTACTCACCCACAGAGTTCAAGGATGGCAAAGCCAGCGGACCTGATGGGATCCCTGCTGAAATCTTTAAAGATGACTAATGGGGTGAGTAATGGCTCTTGAATTCCTATTTGGGTGGCAATGGCTCTTGAAGGGGAGCAAGATCCCACCCTTCAAGACCCATTACTCACCCACAGAGTTCAAGGATGGCAAAGCCAGCGGACCTGATGGGATCCCTGCTGAAATCTTTAAAGATGACTAATGGGGTGAGTAATGGCTCTTGAATTCCTATTTGGGTGGCAATGGCTCTTGAAGGGGAGCAAGATCCCACCCTTCAAGAGCCATTACTCACCCCACAGAGTTCAAGGACGGCAAAGCCAGCGGACCTGATGGGATCCCTGCTGAAATCTTTAAAGATGAGTAATGGCTCTTAAATTCCTCTTGTGGGGTGAGTAGTGGCTCTTGAATTCCCATTTGGGTGGCAATGGCTCTTGAAGGGGAGCAAGATCCCGCCCTTCAAGAGCCATTACTCACCCACAGAGTTCAAGGATGGCAAAGCCAGCGGACCTGATGGGATCCCTGCTGAAATCTTTAAAGATGACTAATGGGGTGAGTAATGGCTCTTGAATTCCTATTTGGGTGGCAATGGCTCTTGAAGGGGAGCAAGATCCCACCCTTCAAGACCCATTACTCACCCACAGAGTTCAAGGATGGCAAAGCCAGCGGACCTGATGGGATCCCTGCTGAAATCTTTAAAGATGACTAATGGGGTGAGTAATGGCTCTTGAATTCCTATTTGGGTGGCAATGGCTCTTGAAGGGGAGCAAGATCCCACCCTTCAAGAGCCATTACTCACCCCACAGAGTTCAAGGACGGCAAAGCCAGCGGACCTGATGGGATCCCTGCTGAAATCTTTAAAGAGGGGAGACTGAGCTCGAGATGTTTTGAACTCCAGCTCCCAAGTGCCCTCTCTTTGCCAAGGAAGTTGGGAGATGCAGTCCCAAACAGCCAGAGGTTGGGAGCCGTTTGCTTTGGTATGAAAACCCAAAGCTCTACCGTCGTGTCGTCTTGCAAACAGTAGGCGAGAAGCACTGGTGGTGTGAAGGACGTATTTGAAACCGAATGGCGATACACTAAAACGAGACTAGCCATTGTGGAAGCTGCTATGTTGTGCGATTTACATTGCTTTGTGGGTCTTCTGGAGTGTTTGGGTGCCTTTCAGTGTTAGAGAGGAGTGTTCCCTCTATCTATATATATTAATAATTTTTGTTGTTTTGGAGCCAACCTTGTTGCCTTGGACCGCCCCCATTTTGGGAGGATTTGCCCTTTGCCCCTCCCCTCCAGGACTCACCTGTTGCTGCTCTTCAGGATTAGGACTGAAACCTCAAACCCTTCCACATGACTTGTTCCGGTGCCAGTGTTTTGGTCTTGGGACGAAGGGCCCGACTCTGTGCCAAATCTGCCTTCGTCCTGGGGAAGCTCTCGTTTATTTATTGTAATCACTGTGTGTTCAGCCTTAAGGAATGACCGTACTGTAGTATTCTTCACTGATGCAAAGATATTATATATACATATATTTTAATGCCCTTCTCCCGGTCTTTTGGATTGAAAAACCAGTAAATAAAAGGTATGCTGAGTGAAAAGAAGGCCCAGTTATTCTTCCGCAGAATATATTCCTATTTGGGTGGCAATGGCTCTCTCACCTCACAGAGTTCAAGGATGGCAAAGCCAGCGGACCTGATGGGATCCCTGCTGAAATCTTTAAAGTTGAGTAATGGCTCTTGAATTCCTCTTGTGGGGGGAGTAATGGCTCTTGAATTCCTTTTTGGGTGCCAACGGCTCTTGAAGGGGAGCAAGACCCCCACCCTTCAAGAGCCGTTACTCACCCCACAGAGTTCAAGTATGGCAAAGCCAGCGGACCTGATGGGATCCCTGCTGAAATCTTTAAAGATGAGTCATGGCTCTTGAATTCCTCTTGTGGGGTGAGTAGTGGCTCTTGAATTCCTATTTGGGTGGGAACGGCTCTTGAAGGGGAGCAAGACCCCACAATTCAAGAGCCATTACTCACCCCACAGAGTTCAAGGATGGCAAAGCCAGCAGACCTGATGGGATCCCTGCTGAAATCACAGAATCATAGAATCCTAGAGTGGGAAGAGACCTGGTGGGCCATCATCCAGTCCAACCCCATTCTGCCAAGAAGCAGGAATATTGCATTCAAATCACCCCTGACAGATGGCCATCCAGCCTCTGTTTAAAAGCTTCCAAAGAAGGAGCCTCCACCACACTCCAGGGCAGAGAGTTCCACTGCTGAACGGCTGGATGATGGCCCAGGAGGTCTCTTCCAACTCTAGGATTCTATGATTTACGATTCACTGCTGGAAGTCGTAAGGAAGATGGCGGACGCAGCTTCGATATGGCAAGAACACATCCGGGTTGCCAAAACGCGCCGATATCGCTTCCAAAGGTATTTTATTTACGATTTCTTAACGAGATTAGAAATGAACGAGCTGGATCAACCAAGCCTACTTTTTACCCATCTCTACAGTTGCATTCAGAAAAAAGAAAGGGGGGTGGTCTCAAAAACATGGTTGACACTGGCTCTCTAAATCAGGGGTCCTCAAACTACGGCCCGGGGGGCGGATACGGCCCTCCATGGTCACTTACCCGGCCCTCGCTCAGGGTCAACCTAAGTCTGAAACGACTTGAAAGCACACAACAACAACAACAACAATCCTATCTCATCAGCCAAAAGCAGGCCCACACTTTCCATTGAAATACTAATAAGTTTATATTTGTTAAAATTGTTCTTCATTTTATGGCAGCTTTCTGATTGGCTGCCACTTTCACAGGCCACTGTGACCAACACGGGTGACGCACCAGGACCAAACTTGGCACACATAACCCCCATGACCCCCTTTACGTCCTGGTGAGGATTGGGGGAGGTGGACCACGGATTATGGGATTTGTAGTACTTTCAAACAGTTTCGTTCCCACGGATGACCGTGGCCCCCAACAAACACCAAGAAAGACCAAACTTGGCACACAGAGCCCCCATGACCCACTCTACATTCTGGTCAGGTTTGGGGGAGAACAGACTATGGATGATGGGACTTGCAGTACTTAACTCAATTTCTGAGACCGCTGTGACCCCCAACCAATGACTGATCAAGACCAAACTTGGCACACAGGGCCCCCATGACCCACTCTACATTCTGTTCAGGTTTGGGGGAGAACAGAGTATGGATGATGGGACTTGCAGTACCCTTCACTCACTTTCTGAGACCACTGTGACCCCCATCCAATGACCAATCAAGATCAAACTTGGCACACAGGGTCCCCATGACCCACTCTACATTCTGGCCAGGTTTGGGGGAGAACAGACTATGGATGATGGGACTTGCAGTACCTTCACTCACTTTCTGAGACCACTGTGACCTTCATCCAATGACCGATCAAGACCAAACTTGGCACACAGAGCCCCCATGACCCACTCTACGTTCTGGTCAGGTTTGGGGGAGAAGAGACTGGATGATGGGACTTGCAGTACCTTAACTCAATTTCTGAGACCACTGTGACCCCCATCCAATGACTGATCAAGACCAAACTTGGCACACAGGGCCCCCATGACCCACTCTACATTCTGGTCAGGTTTGGGGGAGAACAGACTATGGATGATGGGACTTGCAGTACCTTCACTAATTGATAACTGATAAACATCTTTGCCACACAATGCCTTTCTCAAATAACACTGAAATGGTGGCGGGGTATAAATAAAGATTATTATTATTATTTTCTGGGAGATTGTTCTCCAGCAACTGTGGTTCAAAGCTTATCTCCAAACAGGGTTGAATCGTCAGTGCAGACAGGGCCTCCTGCATCCTTTGAGTGAGGAATCCCTGCATCCAAGCACAAACAGCCATCGGGCAAACAAGGAGGCCAACTTAATGGGTCTTTTTTTTAATTTGGGGAGGGGGCTCTACACGGGGGCCGAGTGCTACGTCTTGCAGTCCTCTTCTGGCGTGATCTGTCCCGGAAGCGGCTCCACCATGACCTCGGTGGCGGAGGAGGAGCCCGCTTCCTCTTCCTCCCCTTCCTCCTCCTCCTCGCCTTCGAGGGGCTGCAGGGCCACCGCCACAGCTTTCTCGTCTTCGATGACCAGGTTGCGCAGCTTCCTCTGCCGGGGGTTGTAGTTCTCCACCCGGTCGTGGATCTCCATGTGGCGCCGCAGGTGGGCCTTTGCAAGACACAGAGAGAGGGCAAAGGGGAGGCGCAGTTAGGGCGTCCCAACCTTGTGCCTTCATTTTGGCCCCAAAAAGGTGAGCACTAGATTCAGGTCAATAGGATACGAGACACAACGGTACCATTACCTGTCGGGTGAACTTGTAGCCACACTCGGTGCATTCGAATTTCCTCACACCTTTGTGCCTCCGGATGTGGACACGGAGCTGCTCCACCGCTAAAGAAAGGAAAAGAGAGGCTTCAGAAAGAATCATCATCATCATCATCATTTATATCCCCAAGGGACTCAGGGGGGCTTACATGAGGACAAACGGTACAACAATAAACAAAAGCAATAAATACAATACAATTAATATAAATCACATATATAATCATCATCATCATCATCATCATCATAATCATTGATACCCCGCCACCATCTCCCCAAGGGACTTGGAGGGGCTTACATGAGGCCAAACGGTACAACAATAAACAAAAACAATACAATACAATTAATATAAACAATAATATAAACAATAATAAGTAACACATAAAGATTTAAAAACCTATGTAATAACTTAAAACAAATAATAAATGGGCATAAACAAGGTAGGATATATCTTGGATAGGGCTTTCAAGGAGAGATGAGGGAATGCAGTCAGTCCTAAATCAGTGGTAAAGTGCATTTTGAGGGTGTATTGCTGAGAATTTTCCTTATTCTGGGAAGGCACACTGGAACAACCATGTTTTCAGGCACCTCCTAAAGACTGCCAGAGTTGGGGCATGCCTGATGTCCTTGGGAAGTGAGTTCCAGAGTCAGGGGGGGGGCACCACCGAGAAGGCCGGAAAAGAAGCCTGGATAACAGTATGGCAAACCTCCATTTTGGGAGTGTATGCCAGGGAAGCAGCCATCTTGAGTGAGGATACTTAGAAGATGGGAGGAGTTTGAGGTCTTCTGAGATTGGCTAGAGCAGCTGGGAGGAGCCAAGTCTTAGGAGGGAAAAGATTTCAGCTTCTGTGGGTTTTGAGAACTGGGAGCTGGTGGGTGAAGAAGTGTTTTGGAAACTGGGTTTTCAGGGAGATAGCAGGAAGAACTCTGGGAAGATTTAGCTGATAACTCAGGGGACTGCCTAGGATAGGTTAATCAGAAACTCATTACTATTTCTCTGAAGTAGAGTGAGGGATTTTTGTTACTAGCAGCTATATCTGTTTGATTAGCTCTGTATGTAACTAAGTGAAGAAACTCATTCAAGTAACCATCAAGCTGTAGAACTTTTTGTAACAAGTCAAGCATTTTGTGCCTCAGAAGGAGTTAGTTGTCTGTTTTTATAAATAAATCTTTTTCTATTTAACTTTCAAACAGGTCTCTATCGTTCCTCAATCTATCATTAATCCTTTGTGATAATTCCAGCATCTTTAGCAGCCTGATTCATTACTGTCAGTTCATATATAGTACTATGCACCCTATTCTGTTGTTGTTATTATGTATCTAAAACAGTAAAATGCATGAAAGGTAAAGGTTCTCCGTCGTGGTCTCTGTGAAATGCACACATATGGTAGTAATCACTGCACATGCACACCAGGTCGGAACCTTCTCTTTAGCTTCAAGTGGCTATGGCCCCGACCATCCTTCCCAGGAAGCATATATAAGACATATATCGTATCCTATTGACCTTAGTTCCTTTTTCCGCCCTGCAAGCAGCAGCAGCATTTAGGAACCTCTCTCGCTCTCTTTCAAACAAACAAACAAACTGACTTCGGATTGTTTTTGACTACGGCTTCATCTCATCCTGCTTTACTTGGTATTTGACCGGGACTATTGACTATTCTACTCACAGTTTGTGGCCCTGACTTGGATATAAGACACGAACTTAGCCTTAGTTCCTTTTTCCGCCCTTGCAAGCAGCAGCATTTAGGAACTTCTCTCGCTCTCTTTCAAACAAACAAACTGACTTCGGATTGTTTTTGACTACAGTACCTATTGATCTACTCCTCACTGAGAAGGCCGTCGTTGCCCACTTTCCTGGCCCTGAAAGCACACCAAGCTTCCCTTACCCTTGAAGGTTTTCCCGCAGATCTGGCAGAAGTGGGGCCGGCCTTCCTGGTGCCGACTGGCCACGTGGCGCAGCAGCGGGCCCCGCTCCGTGAAGCGCTGGGAACAGAACTCGCAGCTGAAGGGCCGCTCCCCTGTGTGCGTCCGGTGGTGCTTATCCAAGCTGGCTGCAGTTCGGGAGGCAGAGGAAGCAAAGCAAATAGGGGGCCATCAGGTCAGAAGGGGAGAATCACTACACCTGCTGAGGCGAGGGAGAGAGACTATTTCCTCTTTTAAAACTTCTTTGCTGCCTTATATTGATTCAGTTTCTTCTTTTATAATGGCTGGGACTTTCTGTGTGCTGTTAAACCTTTGCACTTGATATCACAGGCAATGAAACACTCTTGTGTATAACAAAGTAACACAGTATCATTTACTTGGTTAACTTTTCTGAGTAAACTATTAATGTTTCACATTCACAAACAAGTTACTTGCTTTACACACTCTTGGCTGAATTATATTCTGAACTAAGGCAATACTAGCCTTCTTTATGTTCCTTAAAACTCAAGCTCTATTTAACTAACTGCTTCTCTATATCGGAAGTCTTCATCTTATTTCTACTTCTTTCTATCAGGCACTCAAAAACCAACTCTCCTCTTCACACACAGATTCCTAACTGTCATTTTCAAACTCCCACACTCTAACTGCCTCTTATAGAAAGCTTGGCTCCGCCCCTTTGGATTGTTCAGCTCTGCTCTCCCCAACTGTCATTTTGGTCGAGCAGCCTTTTCAAATCCTGTGCCTACACTAATCTGCATATGACCAATCGGCTTCACATATGCAAATGAATCCTATCTCTGCTGTTGGTACCCTGTCTGTGCCTATTCTTCCCTATGTAAACATAGCATATGTATACACCAACTTTAACATAGAGTAGCAATTCCACTACACCTGACTATCACCACCAAATACCGGCGAGTTGCATCTTCAGAGGATCTGATGGTTGTCAAGCAAATACCCCTGTGGAATAATGCCTAGGGTGGAAGAAAGAACCACGGTCCGTTATACAAATGTAAAGGGCGGGATCTCCCCATTACCATGTGAGTAAGGCCAGGGATGTGTTATTGCCTTACCCTTATTCTCCATCTTCATCACTATGATACTTCATCTTGTCGATGGGAAATCAGAGTGGAAATCATCTTTCGGACAGATGGCAAGTTATTTAACCTCAGCCAAAACCAAGAACTCCGGTATGCTGATGACAACGCCGTCTGTGCGCATTCAGAAGACTTACAAGCCACTCTAAACACCTTCGCAGAAGCTTACGAGAAGCTCGGCCTGTCATTACACACTGAGAAAGTTCTCTTTCAGCAGTCACCAGCCAATCCCTCTCCAATGCCAGAAATTAGAAAATGTTGACCATTTCCACTCCCTTGGCAGACACCTCTCTACAGATGTCAACATTGACACCAAAATACAACACCGCCTGAGCTCTGCAAGTGCAGCATTTTTCCAAATGAAGGGGAGAGTGTTTAAGGACCGGGACATCCGTAGGGAGACCAAAGTGCTTGTTTATAAAGCTATTCTCCTCCCAACATCGCTATACGCCTACGAGACGTGGACTGTCTACAGATGTCAACATTGACACTGAAATAAAACACCACTTAAGCTCTGCGAGTGCAGCATTTTTCAGAATGAAGTAGTGTTTGAGGACCGAGACATCCGTAAGGAGACCAAGGTGCTCGTTTATCAAGCTATTGTCCTCCCAACACTGCTCTACGCCTACAAAACGTGGACTGTCTACAGATGTCAACACTGACACTGAAATACAACACCACCTGAGCTCTGCAAGTGCAGCATTTTTCCGAATGAAGCAGAGAGTGTTTGAGGATCGGGACATCCGTAGAGAGACCAAGGTGCTTGTTTATAAAGCTATTGTCCTCCCAACCCTGCCATACGCCTGCGAGATGTGGACTGTCTACAAATGTCAACATTGACACTGAAATACAACACCGCCTGAGCTCTGCGTGTGCAGCTTTTTTCTGAATGAAGCAGAGAGTGTTTGAGGACCGGGACATCCGTATGGATACCAAGGTGCTTGCTTATAAAGCTATTGTCCTCCCAACCACTTCCACTACCTTGGCAGCCACCTCTCCACCAAAGTCAACATCGACACCAAAATACAACACCGCCTGACCTCTGTGAGCACAGCATTTTTCCAAATGAAGCAGAGAGTGTTCGAGGACTGGGACATCCGTAGGGATACCAAGGTGCTTGTTTATAAAGCTATTGTCCTCCCAACCCTTGCTCTACACCTGCAAGACGTGGACTGTCTACAGATGTCAACATCGACACTGAAATACAACACCGCCTGAGCTCTGCGAGTGCAGCATTTTTCTGAATGAAGCAGAGAGTGTTTGAGGACTGGGACATCCGTAGGGATACCAAGGTGCTTGTTTATAAAGTTATTGTCCTCCCCACCCTGCTATATGCCTGCGAGACGTGGACTGTCTACAGACGTCACATGCAACTCCTGGAACGATTCCATCAGCGCTGCCTCTGAAAAATCCGTGCCATTTACCCACACTGGGAACCCAAAGGAAGGATGGATCTGGACCAAACTTGGCACTTATACCCGAGATGCCCAAATTGGAATACTGGCGGGTTTTGGGGGGAATTGCCCTTGACATTTGGAAGTTGTAGATCCTGGGATTTAACGTTCACTTGCAACCAAAGAGCACTGCGAACCCCACCAATGATGAACCTGGACCTAACTTGGCACACAGACCAACAAAAAATAATGGAGGGCTTTGAGGAGAATTCACCCGGATTTGGGCGAGTTGTAGTTCACCTACATCCAGAGAGCACCGTGATCCCAAATGACGATGCGCACGTGCCTGATACGCCCAAATTTGAATACTGAAAGGGTTTGGGAGGGATAGACCTCAATTTCTGGGAGTTGTAGTTCACCTGCAATCAGAGAAACTGTGACCTCCACCATCAAACTTGGCACACAGAACCATGACCAACTGAAAATACTGGAGGGGTTTGGGGGAAACTGACCTTCATTTCTGGAAGCTGTAGTTCACTGACATCCCGAGACACAGTGACCATCACCAGTGATGGATCTGGACTTAACCTGGCACACAGAACCCTCAACTGAACCTACTGGCGGAGTTTGAGGGGACTAACCCACCATGATGGGAGCTGTAGTTTCTCCTGCAGACGTTTTGACTTGGGTGATGGTTGGAGTTTTGATGTAGACATCTATCTGTGTGTGTGGGTTTTCTGTAAACAGTGTGACCCAATTGTTGACTCTAACAACCACCTCGTCAGACTACACTGAGAAGCCATTGAAATCCACAATATAAATATCTATATATCTATATATATAAAAATGCTCATGTCGTCATGAGTGCCTTAAAAACACAAAAACTATGCGGTCAAATGACCCCAACTTTGGCAACAAAACGTCTCACAACACAAGGTGTGACCGACAATAATAAAAAAAAACTAAAAAAAAATACAACTTGTGTGGACAATTTCAACAAAAATGAGGAAACCATGAAAATGAACAAAATCTGGCTCCCAGTATTAAAAAAAACTCTAAAATTACAACAGCAAAACAACAGAGAGGAAACAATCAGGGACTTCTAATCACCTCTCAACAAAAGATTGCCCCAAGCACTGCCAGGCCATCAAATGCTAATCAAAGTGTTTTTTTTTTGTTTGTTTGGTTTTTTTTTGTCGTGTCAGGAGCGACCTGAGAAACTGCAAGTCACTTCTGTTGTGAGAGAATTGGCCGTCTGCAAGGATGTTGCCCAGGGGATGATTTGATGTTTTTAATCCTCCTTGTGGGAGGCTTCTCTCATGTCCCCGCATGAGGAGCTGGAGCTCATAGAGGGAGCTCATCTGCCTCTCCCTGGATTCGAACCTGCGACCTGTCGGTCTTCAGTCCTGCCAGCACAGGGGGTTAACCCACTGCGCCACTGGGGGCTCCATCAAGGTGGTACGTTGAAACATTCACACCTAGCTCCGGCAGACAAGAGTCCTTTGTCCCACCCTGGTCATTCCACAGATATATAAACCCAATTTTCCTAGTTCCAACAGACCTCACTACCTCTGAGGATACTTGCCATAGATGCAGGCGAAATGTCAGGAGAGAATGCCTCTAGAACATGGCCAAACTTACAGCAACCTAGAAAAAACCGTATTTGTTTACCCAAAGAGAAGGCGGCCATACCTTGGGTGCGGAAGGTCTTGCCACAGAGGTGGCACTGGAAGGGCTTCTCCCCGGTGTGAGTCCGGAGGTGCATGTTGAGGTTGGCCTTCTGAGTGAAGGCGTGCTGGCAGAACTCGCAGACGTACGGCCGCTCGTTCCTAGAAGAGAAGGAGCAGCAGCATCAGCCCGGCACGTCTCCCCGCCTGCGGTCAGCGGGACACTACGGTGGGCGGCCCCGGCTCACCTGTGCTTGGCCTTGATGTGCATCTGCAGGCCGTTGCGGCTGGAGGCCCGGTGGCCGCACTCCTCGCAGACAAAGAGCTTCTCCCCGCGGTGCTTGAAGGCCTCGTGCAGGTGCAGCTCCGTCCGCGAGAGGAAGCACTTGGCGCAGGAAGAGCACTGCGGGGAGCGGAGGAAGACTCAGAGCAGCAGAGGGAAGACTCAGAGCAGCAGAGGGAAGAAGAGGACGAGGAGGAGGAGGAGGAGATAAGGCTCCTTCTAGTGTTTCTCAACCTTTCTAACACTGTGACCCCTAAAGATGCTTCCTCATGTCGTGGTGACACCCAACCATAACATTATTAACTGTAATTTTGCTACTGTTACGAATTGTAATGTAAATATGTGATATGCAGGATGTGTTGTCATTGCGTGAGGCCTCCCTCAACACAGGCGAGCGAAGCCTCGTGCAAGGCCTTTCACGTCACCGGCGGGAGGGCTATGCAGGCGAGGGAGCCCTCGCACAAGGCCTTGCTGAAAGGGTCCCTCGCCTGCTCCATGCCCTTGCCTGCCGACGGGAGAGCAACACAGGCGAGGGAGGCCTTGCACAAAGGGGCCCTCGCCTGCCCCATGCCCTTGCCTGCCGGTGGGAGGGCAACACAGGCGAGGGAGGCCTCGCACAAGGCCTTGCTCGAAGGGGCCGTCACCTGCCCCATGCCCCTGCCTGCCGGCGGGAGGGCAACACAGGTGAGGGAGGCCTCGCACAAGGCCTTGCTCGAAGGAGCCCTCGCCTGCCCCATGCCCTTGCCTGCCGGCGGGAGGGCAACACAGGTGAGGGAGGCCTCGCACAAGGCCTTGCTCGAAGGGGCCGTCACCTGCCCCATGCCCCTGCCTGCCGGCGAGAGGGCAACACAGGTGAGGGAGGCCTTGCACGAAGGAGCCCTCGCCTGCCCCATGCCCTTGCCTGCCGGCGGGAGGGCAACACAGGTGAGGGAGGCCTCGCACAAGGCCTTGCTCGAAGGGGCCGTCACCTGCCCCATGCCCCTGCCTGCCGGCGGGAGGGCAACACAGGTGAGGGAGGCCTTGCACGAAGGAGCCCTCGCCTGCCCCATGCCCTTGCCTGCCGGCGGGAGGGCAACACAGGTGAGGGAGGCCTTGCACGAAGGAGCCCTCGCCTGCCCCATGCCCTTGCCTGCTGGCGGGAGGGCAACACAGGTGAGGGAGGCCTCGCACAAGGCCTTGCTCGAAGGGGCCGTCACCTGCCCCATGCCCCTGCCTGCCGGCGGGAGGGCAACACAGGTGAGGGAGGCTGTGCTGGTACAGCTGTACCAGGAGCTCCATTTCTGTTTGCTTTTGCATTGAATGTTTATTGCAGTCCTAAGTTTCAGGGACCCTGCAGATAGGTGGCTTCTTTGGGCTGCAATCATAGGGTAAGCCACCTGCCAATTATAGTTAGGATTCCTGGTCCCGCCCCCTTTTTTGCTTTTTGGAGGGAAAGGGCCATTTTTTAGTTTGTCACAGCAAAGAGAAGCCAAGGCAGAGGATGCACACAGACATTCCTCCTGTCCAAAAGCTTCGTCTTTTAAGACTTCCTGGGGAAGAACAGATTGAAGGCCTCTACGGATTCCCAAAGGGTTCCAGGGAACAGCTTCACAGCCCTGAGGACCTCCGAAGGGAATAACAGCTCTTCATCTTCAGCTAAGTGATTTCAAGCCTGGTGGTACGTCTGTTTCGGTTCTGAGACGCAGTTCAGCCGGTAGCAGACTCAAACCAGTTAAGTTTAAGTTCACAGCAGCTTGGGAGGAGCTTTAAAGGGGAATTTTTTCTTTTAAACAAAGTTTCTTGAAGATAGTGCCTGTTTCCTGTAAACAAGACTGCAGAAGCCAATAGACTATTTAGAAATTTTACAATTCCTGCTTGTTCGTTAATAAAGACTGTTGTATTTAAGCTCTAAGTCTCCTAAAGCCTGCTTAATAGGGAAAGTTCCTCTAAAGGCTCCTTCTCGGGGCCCCGGGCTTCCCGCTGGATGCTAGCCTTGCATCCTCTCTTAAAGCATTTAATTTTAGTTCCAGCGGCGACAGAACAGAGGCCTTGCTCGAAGGGTCCCTCGCCTGCCCCATGCCCTTGCCTGCCGGCGGGAGAGCAACACAGGCGAGGGAGGCCTCGCGCGAGGTGGAGGAGCTGACCTGGAGAGTGTCAAGCTTAGGCGCAACTTGACGGAAGGAATGCTAGATCTGACAAGACACTGCTTTGTCAAAATAACGACTCTGGAAGCTTAAGTTACAAAAGAAAGTTCAGTTTACTAAGCACACAGCTAATACATCCATCTTCAGCGAGCGACATACGGGAAGAAAACAGTAAAACCGAAAGCCAAGACACTCCTCTACAGTTGTTTATCTTTCTCAAGCTGGCAACTCCCTTGAAGTTCTCATCAGAACATAGCTTATCTTAAGTTCCCAAGTTCACCTAATCACAGCCTCAACTCTAAACATTTCAGCACAGCATTTTCCATTCACAGTGGCATCCATATTTGCAATACAAAGAAGCACATTTAAAACACATACATAACTCAATAAATCCTGACAGAAAGCGTGACTGTTTCCCTGGCACGGGCTGGCAGACATTTTGAGGAGGCGGAGGGGGCGTGGCCAACCGAGGCGCCTTCACGACCCCCAAAAAATGGTCCAGTGACCCCTCCGGTGGTCGCGACCCCCAGGTTGAGAACCGCTGCTCTATTTGCTGGAGTGGAAAGGGGGCTGAGGCGAGGGAGAGAGACGATTTCCTTATTAAAACCTCTTTGCTGCCTTATACTGATTCAGTTTCTTTTTTTATATATTGGCTGGGACTTTCTGTGTGCTGTCAAACCTTTGTACTTTATATCACAGGCAATGAAACACTCTTGTGTATAACAAAGTAACACAGTTTATTTATAACTTCTGGCTGCAACGCTTGTGGTTACATTTGTGTTTTGTTGCAATCTTGAGGCTTACAGTCAGTATAATATACCGTATATTCCGGGGTACAACACGACTGGGGCTATAAGACGACCCCCCAACTTTAATAACAAAAATACAGATTTGGGGATATATTCGCCGTTTAAGACGGCTCCCCAATCCAGCGCTTCTCACCAGCCTGGACTGAAAGAAGGGCCTCCGGCGCTCCTCCTCCGCCTCCTCCTCCTCCGCTGCCTTGGCACATGGCAGCCTCCTGGTCAGGCTCCCTGTCGCTCATCTCTTCCTGGCTTCCACAGGCAGGTCTCGCGAGAAGCGCCTCTTCTCCCTCGAGACACTGTTGTCTCGCGGGAGAAGAGGCACTTCTCGCGAAACCTCCCGGGAAAAATGAGATGGCCTGCACAGAAGGGCTTTCAGCCTTGGTCAGGCTGCTCGCCTTCTTCCTGTCCTTCTTGCGAGAGGAGGAGGAGGGGGGGAGGGGAGCCTGTGGCCAAGGCATCCACCCCAAGAGGCTCTACCGGTATTTTATTATTATTATTTTATTTTTATACCCGGGGTACTAGACGACCCCCAAATTTTTTTAAGGATTTTCATGCCTAAAAAGTCATCTAGTACCCCGGTTTTTACGGTACTTGGTTTACTTTTCTGAAATAGACTTTCAATGTTTCACATTCACAAACACGTTACTTGCTCTACACACTCTTGGCTGAATTATATTCTGAACTAAGGCAACACTAGCCTTCTTTATGTTCCTTAAAACTCGAGCTCTATTTAACTAACTGCTTCTCTATATCAGAAGTCTTTAACACATCTTCATAACTGCTTATTTCTATCAGGCACTCAAAAACCAACTCTCCTCTTCACACAGAGATTCCTAACTCTCATTTTCAAACCCCCTCACTCTTTCAGCACCTTGGCTATACACCAAAACATTAACATAGAGTAGCAATTTCACGACAGGGGCTCTTGTCTTACCGCATGAGGTTTGGGGGCCCCGTGGAGCTTGATCAAGTGGCTCTGCAGGTCCTTCTTCTGCATGAACTGCTGGATGCAAGAAGAGCACTAGAGGGGAGGAAACATTCATACAGAATCTTGTTTCGATGTCTGAATATTCTTAGCTTTTAAATTGCACGAGTCTCTCTTTTTTTAGAAGAGAGAAAAAACAGGATACAAACAACAACGCAAGAGCCATCTTGTGTCCAGTCAAATCACAGACTTTGTATGTTTGTATGTGGCGGACAGAGGAAGGAGGATGTAGGGCGGAGGAGTTTGTGGCAGCTTTCTGGTTGGCTGCTACTGTGATGCTATTTGCATATGGTCTCTGATTGGCCAGCCTCAATTCCAAAATTCCGAGATGACAAAGAGAGGAAAGGAAAAGGCTTAAGGCTGTGTCAGAAAATTACCAATACAGACCAAACTTGGCACACAGAGCACACAAGACCCACTTTACATCCTACTGTAGTTTGGAGGAGGATGGACCATGGATGATATATATATATATATATAATGTTTGTGGGATTAACGTAACTAAAAAATCACTGGACAAATTGACACCAAATTTGGACACAAGACACCTATTTGGCCAATGAGTGACCATACAAACACTGAAAATCACAGAGACTTAAAACGCCAAAAAATAATAAAAAATATACATTACAACGCATGTGCAAAACCCACATATATACACACATATATACACACACAGAACACATATACACAGCAACGTGTGGCAGGGAACGGCCATATATATATATATATATATATATATATATATATATATATATATATTTGGAGACCCCGGTGGCGCAGTGGGCTAAACTGCTGATCAAAAGGTTGCAGGTTCGAATCCGAGGCCTTACTCACATTAACAGAACTCAAAAACCACTGGACGAATTGACACCAAATTTGGACACCTGACAACTCAACGTATGTCCTTCACTCAAAAAAAAAATGATTTTGTCATTGGGAGTTGTAGTTGCTGGGATTTATAGTTCACCTACAATCAAAGAGCATTCTGAACCCCACCAATGATGGAATTGAACCAAACTTGGCACACAGTTCTCCCATGACCAACAGAAAATACTGGAAGGGTTTGGTGGGCAGTGTCCTTTAGTTTTGGAGTTGTAGTACACCTACATCCAGAGAACACTGTGTACTCAAACAATGATGGATCTGGACCAAAACTTGGCATGAATACTCAGTATGCCCAAATTTGAACACTGGTGGGGTTGGAGGGAGAATTGATTATGTCATTTGGGAGTTGTAGTTGCTGGGATTTATAGTTCACCTGCAATCAAAGAGCATTCTGAACTCCGCCAATGATAGAATCGGGCCAAACCTCCCACACAGAATCCCCATGTGGGCCACAGCAACGTGTGGCAGGGGACAACTAGTGTGTGTATATATACACATACATACATACATACATACATACACACACACACACACACACACACACACACACACACACACACACACATATATATATATATATATATATATATATATATAAAGATATTAATATGGCTGGTAACCAGAGGAGACACTATAATAACGATTTTAAAATAATATTTAAAGATATTAAATATAAACAAAACCATATATCAACAGGGCCGCCACTCTGGGGAAACACTATAATAACGATGGAAAATAATATTTAAAATATTATAATTAAAATAATTAAGTCATCTTCGATGTCCCATGAAGAAGGGGCTCAAAATAGGTCAGCGTTGACATGGAGAGTGTCTGGTTTGCCCACCCTGGAACATGCAACATATCACTGTCCTTCTTCAGGGGTCCCTTTCCAATCTATGATGCTATATCTCTCTGTGTGTGAATCATATCTATCTATCTATCTATCTATCTATCTATCTATCTATCTATCTATATCTATGGCTGGATGACCCTTTGTCAGGAGGGATTTGATTACGTTTCCTTGCCCTGGTGTTGGACTGGATGGCCTTAAGTATTTTCTGTTGGCCATGGGGGTTCTGTGTGGCAAGTTTGCCCCAGTTCTGTCGTTCGTGGGGTTCAGAATGCTCTTTGATTGTAGGTGAACTGTGAATCCCAGTAACTACAACTCCCAAATGTTGTATTAAGGTCTATTTCCCTTAAACTCCATCTGTGTTCATATTTGGGCATATGGAGTATTCGTGCCAAGTTTGGTCCAGTTCCATCATTGTTTTGAGTCCACAGTGCTCTCTGAACTACAAGTCCCAAACTCAAGGTCAATGCCAACCAAATCCGTCTAGTGTTTTCTGTTGGTCATGGGAGAACTGTGTTCCAAGTTTGGTTCAATTCCATCATTGGTGGAATTCAGAATGCTGTTTGATTGTAGGTGAACTGTACATCCCAGCAACTACAACTCCCAAATGACAGAATCATTTTTTTGGGTGAAGGACATACATTGGGTCGTTTGGTATCTTGTGTCCAACTTTGGTGTCAATTCGTCCAGTGGTTTTTGAGTTCTGTCAATCCCACAAATGAAAATTACATTTTTATTTATATACGTTTACTGCAGTATAGAAGAAGCTTGCCGGTTTCAATGTTTCTTAACTCTTAGAGGCACATATCTTCAGAATATCTGTGCCAAGTTTGGTCCAGTTCCATCATTGTTTGAGCCCACAGTGCTCTCTGGATGTAGGTGAATTACAACTCCCAAACTCAAGGTCAATGCCTACCAAACCCTTCTAGTGTTTTCTGTTGGTCATGAGAACCCTGTATGCCACGTTTGGTTCAATTCCATCATTGGTGGGGTTCGGAATGCTCTTTGATTGTAGGTGAACTATACATCCCAGCAACTACAACTCCCAAATGACAGAATCATTTTTTTGGGTGAAGGACATAGATTGCTTTGGTTGGTGTCTTGTGTCCAAATTTGGTGTCAATTCGTCCAGTGGTTTTTGAGTTCTGTCAATCCCACAAACGAACATTACATTTTATTTATATCGATTTTTTTTGTTTTTGTGATTTATATTAATTGTGTTGTATTGATTATTTTGTTATTGCTTTTGTTTATTGATGTGCTGTGGGCTTGGCCTCATGTAAGCCGCACCGAATCCTGTGGGGAGATGGTAGTGGGGTACAAATAAAGTATTATTATTATCTATATATATAAAAATGCTCTGGGCGTCGTGACTACCTTAAAAACAAAAGAACCAATGAACGAAATCCCACCAAATTTGACAATAAAACATCTCACAACACAAGGAGTGACCATCACTCAAAAAAAAATATTATTTTGTCATTTGGGAGTTGTAGTTGCTGGGAATTATAGTTCACCTACAATCAAAGACCATTCTGAACTCCATCAACGATGGAATTGAACCAAACTTGGCACACAGAGCTCCCATGACCAACAGAAAATACTGGAAGGGTTTGGTGGGCATTGACCTTGAGTTTGGGAGTTGTAGTTCACCTCCATCCAGGCACCACTATGGACTCACAGTGATGGATCTGGACCTCTTTACCAGGGGGTAATTTCCCATTCGTTCCATGGGCTCCTCTGTTCCATAGGATTCTAGTTGGAAGGATCTCCCATGATGCTCACCTTGTAGGGCATCTCTCCGGTGTGGCCGACCATGTGCAGCCGCAGCTCCACCCGCCTCTTGAAGGCCTCCTGACAGACCGAGCAGGCGAATACCTGGAAGGGAAGGGAGTCAGAAAGTGGGTCGTCTTGTAGGACTGTTCAGGCTATACATTCACGTTCCAGTAGCATCCTCTCCTGACGTTTCACCTACATCTATGGCAGGCATCTTCACAAGTTTGTTCAGAGGTCAGTTGGAAACGATGCATACCGAATAATAGAATCATAAAATGGGAAGAAATCCAGTCCAACCGCATTCAAATCGCATTCAAAGCACCCTGACAGATGGCCATCCTGCCTCTGCTTAAAAGCCTCCAAAGAAGGAGCTTCCACCACAATACTACGTAGAGTAAAATAATAAATGTAATAATAGGGGGAAATAATAACTATAATAACAATAACAATAGAGTATAATAATAATAATAATAATAATAATAGAGTAAAATAATAAATGTAATAAAATAAATGTAATAATAGAGGAAAATAATAACTATAATAACAATAACAATAACAATAGAGTATAATAATAATAATAATAATAGAGTAAAATAATAAATGTAATAAAATAATAAATGTAATACATAGCCTTCCAATAATAATGATAAAGTTAAATAATAAATATAATAACAATACTAAGTAGAGTAAAATAATAAATGTAATAATAGAGGAAAATTATTATTATAATAACAATAACAATAGAGTATAAAAATAATAATAATAAATAGAGTAAAATAAAAAATGTAATAAAATAATAAATGTAATAATAAAGGAAAATAATAACTATAATAACAATAACAATAGGGTATAATAATAATAATAATAATAATAATAACAGAGTAAAATAATAGATGTAATACACATCCTTCCAATAATAATAAATATAATAACAATACTAAGTAGAGTAAAATAACAAATGTAACAATAGAGGAAAATAATAACTATAATAACAATAACAATAGAGTATAATAATAATAATAATAAAGTAAAATAATAAATGTAATAAAATAAATGTAATAATAGAGGAAAATAATAACTATAATAACAATAACAATAGAGTATAATAATAATAATAATAATAATAATAATAAATAGAGTATAATAATAAATGTAATAAAATAATAAATGTAATACATATCCTCCCAATTATGATAGAGTTAAATAATAAATATAATAATAATACTAAGTAGAGTAAAATAATAAATGTAATAAAATAATAAATGTAATAATAGAGGAAAATAATAACTATAATAACAATAATAGAGTAAAATAATAAATGTAATAAAATAATAAATGTAATACATATTCTTCCAATAATAATGATAGAGTTAAATAATAAATACAATAACAATACTAAGTAGAGTAAAATAATAAATGTAATAATAGAGGAAAATAATAACTATAATAACAATAACAATAGAGTATAATAATAATAATAATAATAATAATAATAAATAGAGTATAATAATAAATGTAATAAAATAATAAATGTAATACATATCCTCCCAATTATGATAGAGTTAAATAATAAATATAATAATAATACTAAGTAGAGTAAAATAATAAATGTAATAAAATAATAAATGTAATAATAGAGGAAAATAATAACTATAATAACAATAATAGAGTAAAATAATAAATGTAATAAAATAATAAATGTAATACATATTCTTCCAATAATAATGATAGAGTTAAATAATAAATACAATAACAATACTAAGTAGAGTAAAATAATAAATGTAATAACAGAGGAAAATAATAACTATAATAACAATAACAATAGAGTATAATAATAATAATAATAATAATAAATAGAGTAAAATAATAACTATAATAACAATAACAATAGAGTATAATAATAATAATAATAGAGTAAAATAAATGTAATACATATCCTTCCAATAATAACTATAATAACAATAACAATAGAGTATAATAATAATAACAAATAGAGTAAAATAATAAAAGTAATAATAGAGGAAAATTATAATTATAATAACAATAACAATAGACTATAATAATAATAATAATAATAGAGTAAAATAATAAATGTAATAAAATAATAAATGCAATACATAGCCTTCCAATAATAATGATAGTTAAATAATAAATATAATAATAACAATACTAAGTAGAGTAAAATAATAAATGTAATAATAGAGGGAAATTATTATTATAATAACAATAACAATAGACTATAATAATAATAATAGTAATAAATAGAGTAAAATAATAATAGAGTAAAATAATAACTATAATAACTATAACAATAGAGTATAATAATCATCATCATAATAATAACAGAGTAAAATAATAAATGCAATACATGTTCTCCCAATAATAATTCCAATACATGTTCTTCCAATAATAATTTCAGTATTACATATTACTATATTGCACTATGCCATTACATTGTATTGTAAATATATAATTAAAATTATAATGAATATAATTATGATTATTATTAATATAATATAATAATATAATGTAATAATATAATACAATATAATAATTAATATAATTATAATTATTAATATAATAATATAATTATATAATACAACATAATAATTAATATAATTAATATGATTATACTTATTATTAATATAATAACATAATATAATATAATTATTATGTAATATAATATAATAATTAATACAATTAATATAATTATACTTATTATTAATATAATAATATAATATTATTATATTATATTATTATGTTATATTATTATGTAATATAATATAATAATTAATATTTTTATTATTAATTCTGATTTATGTATTTATGTATTGTAAATATATTTAATTATAATATTATTATTATTACTACTAGTATTACATTGTATTACATTATAATATTATACACATTCTATGTATATACAATATACTATATTATATTATTCGTAAAGACAAGATGGAAACGTCTACTACTCCTCTCTGTCTTCCTTTGCCCACCGACCAAGTGTGGCTTTGCTCCCTCCCAAACCCCAAATGCGCCTCCGGCACCTGCTCCGAGCGACTCATGCAGTTCCGGGCTTCATGCTCCAGCAGGTTCTCCTTCCGGAAGTAGCACTTCCCACACTTGGAGCACTCAAAGGGCTTCTCGCCAGTGTGTTTCCTGCCAAAAGGAGCAGATCCGTTGGTATCAAAAGCAGCCGGTCGCAAGATTCATGACCACACCCTTCCCAGGACCTACCGGTTGTGGACTTTGAGGTAGTACTTGCTGAGGAAGGACTTGTGGCAGGTGGGGCACTCAACTGGCTCACCACCACCCCGGCGGTTTCCAAGCTCCGCAGCTTCCAAAACATGGAGGTTCCCAGTGACTTTCGAGGACTTCCGTTTGGGCCTCGTCGTGCCCCTACTCCTGGGAGCATCGCCCTCGTCCGCCGCCTCCGTCCCTCTTTCGCTTCCCTCTCTTCTATCACGTGAACCCGGAGCCTCTTCCTGCGTTTCCTTTGGAAAAACACATCAGGAGGGTTGTTTCGCACACATACCCATCAAGGTCTGGATTCTCTTCCTACCGCAACCACATCCTGACCAAACCAATCACATAAAGTATTTTGCTAACAACAGGCGTCTCTCAGGGACCTCATGACCGGAGATGATGGACAAATGTCCTTTCTGGTTGCTTGAGAATCCCTATAAAAATAGGCCAAACTCGTAATAGACTTAGCATAATATATAATACAATAATTAATATTTAATTCAGGATTGCTAAAAGTATTTGGCCGGAGAAGTTCTCACTTAGCTAGTAAGCGAGAGGCCAAGTCGGCCAAAGGTCACCGCAATATGTTCATGATTGCTAAGAGTATTTGGCCTTCTGGCTGACAAACAGGCGTTGTCAGTTCAACGTGGCTCTTTCCATGCAAACCTCTATGGAGTATACTGGAGTATAAGCCTAGTTTTTCAGCCCCCTTTTTAGGCTGAAAAAACTCCCCTTTAATATAATTAATATAATATAATAATTATATTATATTATAATATTATATTATAATAATTAATATAATTATAATTAATATAATTATATAATTATACTTGAGCCAAGGTTATTTATTATTTTACTCTGTTATTAGTATTATTTTTATTATATTTATGTTATTACTCTATTGTTATTTTTATTACATAGTAGTAGTCAGAATAATATTCAAATCATGTAATCAGAACAAGCTTTGGATATTATTATTATTATTATTATTATTATTATTATATCCAAAGCATGTCTGGATTACATGATTTGAATATTATTCTTACTATTACTACTACTACTACTAAGCTTTGGATATTATTATTATTATTATTATTATTATTATTATTATTATATCCAAAGCTTGTCCTGATTACATTATTTGAATATTATTCTTACTACTACTACTATTATATTTATTTAAATCTAACATTATTATTATTATTATTATATTATTATTATTATTATATTATATTATTATATGGATTACATGATTTGAATATTATTCTTACTACTACTACTATTATATTTATTTAAATCCAACATTATTATTATTATTATTATTATTATATTATTATATGGATTACATGATTTGAATATTATTCTTACTATTACTACTACTACTAGTACTACTATTATATTTATTTAAATCCAACATTTGTCCACATTGATTAACCTAAGGATTATTATTATTAATAATAATAATAATAATAATAATAATAATAATACTTAATCTGTCCTGTGAGTACAAACTTTGGAAGATGATGACAACGAAGATAAGTCAGATTATCCAATGTGGACAAACTTTGGATAATAAAAATAATCATGATATCCAATGTGGATAAACTTTGGATGATGATGATGATGATGATAATAATAATAATAATATAATAATAATAATAATAATAATAAGACCCCACAAGCGTCACCTGCTCCTGCCTGGCATCCATTTCGGTGTTTTGACTTTCCAGCGGTCCTTCTTGCCCCTTGGCTTTGTCTGCTTGGGGATCCAACTCTTCCTGAAGGACGCAGGGGCTCCCCGCTTGCTCCCCTTGGAGTTGGGGGGCCACAGTGTCCTCTTTGGGGGCTGCCTCTCTATCAAGGGTGCCCTCTTCCGCCTCCTCCTCCGGCCCGGACTCCTGGCACAAGCGAACAGCTTCGGGGACACAGAGCTCCTTGGCGGCCTGCAGGAGCCCCTCTCGGTTCTCCGGGGTGACCCCCAAGTGCCCCGTGTAGAAGAAATCCAGGAGGAGGGCAAAGGCTCCCGCGAAGGCCTCCGGAAGGGTGACGGTGCTGGAAGTGCTGCCTCCAGTGTTGCAGAGGCTCCGGAAGAAGGGGCTGCAGCAGGCCAGGACACTCCAGTGGGCCCGGAAGATGTGGGGGCCCAGGGCCAGCGTGGCGTCGCAGCACTGGCCGCTCTGTCGCTGCTGGTTGAGGCCGTGCAGGACGCGCACGCTGTGCTGGACAAAGGAGGAGCCCTCCATGGCCGCCTGCAAGAGACAGGCGAGAGAGAATTCGGGATCATCAAAGGGTGTTGTCGGAGCGTCTGCACTGCAAAAGGGGTGCAGGTTAATAATCTATAGATATAAATATGTAATGTTTATGGGATTCACAGAGTTAAGAAACATTGAAACCGTCAAGCTTCCTCCATGGCCAACTGCAAGAGACAGGCGAGAGAGAAATCACGATCACCAAAGGGTGTTGTCGGGGTGTCTGCACTGCAAAAGGGGCGCAGGTTAATAATCTATATATATAAATATGTAATGTTTATGGGATTCACAGAGTTAAGAAACATTGAAACCATCAAGCTTCTTCTATACCTCAATAAACTTGTATATAAATAAAAATGTAATGTTGGTTTGTGGGATTCACAGAACTCAAAAACCACTGGGGGAATTGACACCCAATTTGGACACAAGACACCTAACCACCCAATGTATGTCCTTCACTAAAAACAAAATAATTTTGTCACTTGGGAGTTGTAGTTGCTGGGATTTATAGTTCACCTACAATCAAGGAGCATTCTGAACTCGACCAATGATGGAACTGAACCAAAGGTGGCATACAGGATTCTCATGACCAACAAAAAACACTAGAAGGGTTTGGTGGACTGTTCTGAACCCCACTAACGACAGAATTGGGACAAACCTCCCACACAGAACCCCCATGACCAACAGAAAACACTAGAAGGGTTTGGTGGACATTGACCTTGAGTTTGGGAGTTGTAGTTCACCTACATCCAGAGAGCACTGTGGACTTAAACAATGATGGAACTGGACCAAACTTCTGAAGATATGTGCCTGTAAGAGTTAAGAAACATTGAAACCGTCAAGCTTCTTCTACACTTCAATAAACTTGTATATAAAGAAAAATGTAATGTTCGTTTGTGGGATTAACAGAACTCAAAAACCACTGGGGGAATTGACACCAAATTTGGACACAAGACACCTAACAGTCCAACAAGTGTCCATCACACCTAAAAAAAACCACACAAACACACACACACACAAAACCCCAGCAGAGCAGACTTAAAAAAACCCCAAAATACACCATATACATATAAACAGGCACACATTCATAGAATCATAGAATCCAAGAGTTGGAAGAGACCTCCTGGGCCATCCAGTCCAACCTCATTGGGGCCCCCTTCTGCTAACCATTTGAGAAGCAAAACAACCACCTCCTCCTCCTCAAAGAATCATAGAATCGAAGTGTTGGAAGAGTCCAACTCCATTCTGCCAAGAAGCAGGAATATTGCATTCAAAGCACCCCTGACAGATGGCCATTCAGCCTCTGTTTCAAAGCCTCCAAAGAAGGAGCCTCTACCACACTCCAGGGCAGAGAGTTCCACTGCTGAACAGCTCTCACTGTCAGGAAGTTCTTCCTCATGTTCAGATGGAATCTCCTCTCTTGTAGTTTGAAGCTATTTCTAGGTGCAAAGATTACTGCACACACACACACACACACACACACACACACACACATATATATATATATATATATATATATGCACAAACATACTCAAGTATACATATATACACATACACACATATATACACATGCACACACAAATATACATATATACACACATATACATATACACATGCATGCACACATATATACACACAAATATGCATATAGACAAGCACACACATATATACAATATGCGTGTAAACATATAAACACACATATACACACATATATACACCCACACATATATACACCCACACACACATATATATATATACACACACACACACACACTATATATACACACAGACTGGGCCACAGCAACGCGTGGTAGGGGACAGCTAGTATATAAATAGAAATGTAATGTTCGTTTGTGCGATTCACAGAATTCAAAAACCACTGGACGAATTGACACTAAATTTGGACACATGACCACTAACAACCCAATGTATGTCCTTCACTCAAAAAAACCTGATTTTGTCATTTGGGAGTTGTAGTTGCTGGGATTTATAGTTCACCTACAATCAAAGAGCATTCTGAACTCTACCAGCTATGGAATTGAACCAAACTTGGCACCCAACCCCCCATGACCAACAGAAAATACTGGAAGGTTTGGTGGGCATTGACCTTGAGTTTTGGAGTTGTAGTTCACCTACATCCAGAGATCACTGTGGACTCAAACAATGATGGATCTGGACCAAACTCTACACGAATACTCAATATGCCCAAATGTGAACACTGGTGGAGTTTGGGGAAAATAGAATCTTGACATTTGGGAGTTGTAGTTGCTGGGATTTATAGTTCACCAACAATCAAAGAGCGTTCTGAAATCCACCAATGATGGAATTCAACCAAACATAGCATACAGGACTTCCATGACCAACAGAACACACTGGAAGGTTTGGTGGGCACTGACCTTGAGTTTGGGAGTTGTAGTTCACCTACATCCAGAGAGCACTGTGGAGTCAAACAATGATGGATCTGGACCAAACTTGGCACGAATATTCCGTATGCCCAAATATAAACACAGATGGAGTTTGGAGGGGGAAATAGGAGTTGTAGTTTGGTGGGGTACCTATACTGCATCTACACTGCAGAATGACTGTAAGGCTATGGCTGTTTCTGTAGAATGACTGCAATATGACACCCCTTCGATGTGGTTCAATCCTACAGCATCATGGGACCTGTTGCTTGGTGAGAGGTTTAGTATGTATCTATGCTGTAGAACAAATGTAAGGCTATGGCTGCTTAGGTGCCATGGGTAAACAGAGGGAGCCCTGGGAGCTGTAGTTGAGTGGGATGTTTCGTATGCATCTACACTGCGGAATGAATGTACAACTGTGGCTGCTTGTGTAGAATGAATCTAGCTCTATTAGGTGTCATGGCGCAAGGCTACAGAGTCCTGGGAGTTGTAGTTTGGTGGGATATCTACTTTGCATCTCAACTGCAGAATGAATATAAGGCTATGTTTGTTTCTGTGGAATGATTCCAGCTTCATAGGTGCCAGAATTAAAGAGATGGCACCCTGGGAGTTGTAGTTCGGTGGGATATCTACTAGGAAGTGGTTCTCAACCTGGGGTCCCCAGATGTTTTTGGCCTTCAACTTCCAGAAATCCTAACAGCTGGTAAACTGGCTGGGCTGGATCTCCATTGTCCATGGCCACTCATTTCCTCGTTGCACAACACAGGGATTTCTGGGAGTTGTAGGGACCCCAGGTTGAAAACCACTGCTACTAGGCATCTAAACTGCAGAATGAATATAAGGTTATGTTTCCTTCTGTGGAATGAATCTAGCTTCATAGGTGCCACAGCCTCAGGGCTAAGGAGTCATGGGAGTTGTAGTTTGGTGAGATATTTACTCTGCATCTAAATTACAGGATGAATGTAAGGGTATGGCTTCTTCTATTGAATGAATGCACTGGTCTAGGAGACATAGGTAAATGCAATGGGAGCCCTGGGAGTTGTAGTTCGGTGCGATATTTACTCCGCATCTAAACTGAATGAATGTAAGGCTTCTGTTGAATGAATACACTGGTTTGGGAGACATAGGTAAATGCGATGGGAGCCCTGGGAGTTGTAGTTTGGTGAGATATATACTCTGCATCTAAATTACAGAATGAATGTAAGGCTATGGCTGCTTCTGTGGAATTGATCCAGCTTCATAGCTGCTGTGACGAAAGGCAATGGAGTCCTGGGAGTTATAGTTTGCCAATGAAGGCTCCAGACATGGAAACTGCGACTGAAGCTAAAGTGTTGCCGGAAGTGCCCTCATTCCCATGGTGATGGCAGCCATGGCAGCCTCTTCGTCCTCTCCACATCTCAACAAAAGATTGCTCCAGGCACAGTCAGCCCATTGTACGCTAATGAAGGTGGTCAGTTGAAACATTCACACCTAGCTCCAGCAGACAAGAGTCCTTTGTCCCACCCTGGTCATTATTCCACAGAGATATAAACCCATTTTCTTTGTTCCAACAGACCTCACTAGCTCTGAGTTTGCTTGTCATAGATGTAGGTGAAACGTCAGGAGAAAATGCCTCTAGAACATGGCCATATAGCCTGAAAAAACCTACAACAACGCAATCAGGGACATCTAATCACCTCCCAACAAAAGATTGCCCCAGGCAATGCCAGCCCATCACATGCTAATCAAGGTGGTCAGTTGAAACATTCACACCTAGCTCCAGCAGACAAGAGTCCTTTGTCCCACCCTGGTCATCATTCCACAGATATATAAACCCATTGTCCTATTTCCAACAGACCTCACTCCCTCTGAGGATGCTTGCCACAGATGCAGGCGAAACGTCAGGAGAGAATGCCTCTCGAACATGGCCATATAGTCCGAAAAAACCTACAACAACCCAATAATGATATTTGTTTTAAAAAAAACCCCAGTAAGGATTGTAGTTGTTGCAATCAGGCACATCTAATCACCTCTCAACAAAAGATTCCCCCAGGCTCAGCCAGGCCATTATATGATAATGAAGGTGGTCAGTTGAAACATTCACACCTGCCTCCAGCAGACAAGAGTCCTTTGTCCCACCCTGGTCATCATTCCACAGATACATATACCCAATGTTCCTAGTTCCAAGAGACCTCACTCCCTCTGAGGATGCTTGCCATAGATGCAGGCGAAACGTCAGGAGAGAATGCCTCTAAAACATAGCCACATAGCCTGAAAAAACCTACAACAACCCAATCAGGGACATCTAATCACCTCTCAACAAAAGATTCCCCCAGGCTCAGCCAGGCCATTATATGCTAATCAAGGTGGTCAGTTGAAACATTCACACTTAGCTTCAGCAGACAAGAGTCCTTTGTCCCACCCTCGTCATCATTCCACAGATATATAAACCCATTTTCCCAGTTCCAACAGACCTCACTACCTCTGAGGATGCTTGCCAGAGATGGAGGCGAAACGTCAGGAGAGAATGCCTCTAGAACATGGCCTTATCGCCCAGAAAAAACTACAACAACCCAATAATGATATTTGTTTTTAAAAAAACCCAGTAAGGATTGCCGTCGTTGCAATGAGGCACATCTAATCACCTCTCAACAAAAGATTGCCCCAGGCTCAGCCAGGCCTTTCAATGCTAATGCAGGTGGTCAGTTGCAACATTCCCACCTAGCTCCAGCAGACAAGAGTCCTTTGTCCCACCCTGGTCATTCCACAGATGTATAAACCCTTTTTCCTAGTTCCAACAGACCTCACTACTACCTCTGAGGATGCTTTCCATAGATGCAGGCGAAACGTCAGGAGAGAATGCCTCTAATCACCTCCCAACAAAAGATTTTCCCAGGCTCAGCCAGGTCTGCTAATGCTAATGAAGGTGGTCAGTCGCAACATTCCCACCTAGCTCCAGCAGACAAGAGTCCTTTGTCCCACCCTGGCAATCCTTCCACAGACATATAAACTCTTGAAGAGCTGAGAGGAGGAGGAGGAGGAGGAGGAGGCCCTTCCTTCCCAGCAGAAACCCCCCGGGGCCCTTGAAGGGGCGGGCGGGGAGGCGCCCTTCCAAGCGGAGGGGCCAGAGGGGCCCGCCTTGCCTCACCTGCCTTCCTGCGGCCTCTTTTCGGCCTCTCCGCCTGCCTTCCTTCCTCTCACTGAGGCGAGCGAGGAAACTCCAGGGCCGCCATCTTGGGTGCGACGCACGGCGCGGTGACGTCAGGGGAGAGGGAAAAGGGGCGGGGCCTCCATCCCTCTAGGCCTCCCTCCTCTCATTGGAGGAAGCAGGGGAAAGGGGCGGGGCCTCTCACTGAGGCGAGCGGGGCAGCTCCGGGCCCGCCATCTTGGATGCGACGCACGGCCGCGCCCCTTTTCCCTGACGTCAGGGAAAAGGGGCGTGGCCTCCATCCCTCGAGTCTAGGCCTCTCACTGGACGGGACGCATAGCGGGGGACGTCACAGGACTGGAGGAGGGGCGGGGCCTCCATCCTTCTAGGCCTCTCATTGGGGGAAGCAGGGGAAGGGGCGGGGCCTCCACCCCTCTAGGCCTTCCCTCCTCTCTTTGTAGGAAGCAGGGAAAGGGGCGGGGCTTCCATCCCTCTTGGCCTCTCATTGGTGGACTGAAAGAAAAGGGGCGGGGCCTCCATCCCTCTAGGCCTCTCATTGGAGGAAGCAGGGAAAGGGGCGGAGCCTCAAACTCCTTAGGCCTTCCCTCCTCTCATTGGAGGAAGCAGGGAAAGGAGGCGGGGCCTCCATCCCTCTAGGCCTCTCACTGGAGGAAGTCTGGACGGGACGCAGAGCGAGGTGACGTCACAGGACTGGAAAAAGGGGCGGAGCCTCAACCCCTCCTGGCCTTCCCTCCTCTCACTGAGGGGAGCAGGGAAGCCACTCTGGAGGGGACGTAAGGGTGTGGTGACGTCACGCGGCAGGAATAGGGGCGGGGCCTACTTTTCCATCTTGGCCTTCCCTCCTCTCATTGGAGGTGACGTCACGGGACGGGGAAAAGGGGCGGAGCCTCGACCCCTCCTGGCCTTCCCTCCTCTCATTGGAGGGAGCAGGGACGCCATCTTGGACAGGGAAAGGGGCGGGGCCTCCCTCCCTCTAGGCCTCTCACTGGACGGGACACATAGCGAGGTGACGTCACAGGACTAGAAAAGGGGTGGGGCTTCCATCCCTCTAGGCCTCCCATTGGAGGAAGTAGGGAAGGGGGCGGGACCTCCATCCCTCTAGGGCTCTCATTGGAGGAAACAGGTTAAGGGGGCGGAGCCTCCATCCGTAGGCCTTCCCTCCTCTCATTGGAGGAAGTAGGGACGCCATCTTGGACAGGGAAAGGGGCGGGGCCTACTTTTCCATCTTGGCCTTCCCACTTGTCACTGAGGCGAGCAGGGCCGCCATCTTGGACGGGACGCATAGCGCGGTGACGTCACAGGACTGGAAAAGGGGCGTGGCCTACTTTTCCATCTTGGCCTTCCCTCCTCTCACTGAAGCGAGGAATTGTGGGAGTTGGAGTCCAAAACACCTGGAGGGAGGGCCGAAGGGAAAGGAAAGGGGGGAAGGAAGGGAAGAGAAGGAAGGAAGGAGAGGAAGAAAGGAGGAGGGGAAGGGGAAGAAAAGTGACTCTAAGCTGGGATGTGTCCAGAGGAGGGCGACTCAAAGGATCCAGGGTCTGGAGAACAAGCCCTATGAGGAGCGGCTTAAGGAGCTGGGCATGTTTAGCCTGAAGAAGAGAAGGCTGAGAGGAGATATGATGAGGGCCATGTATAAGTAAGTGAGAGGAAGCCACAGGGAGGAGGAGGGAACAGATCCAGGGTCTGGAGAACAAGCCCTATGAGGAGCGGCTTAAGGAACTGGGCATGTTTAGCCTGAAGAAGAGAAGGCTGAGAGGAGATATGATGAGGGCCATGTATAAATATGTGAGAGGAAGCCACAGGGAGGAGGAGGGAACAGATCAAGGGTCTGGAGAACAAGCCCTATGAGGAGCGGCTTAAGGAGCTGGGCATGTTTAGCCTGAAGAAGAGAAGGCTGAGAGGAGATATGATGTATAAATAGGTGAGAGTGAAGTCGAACATGACCACCCCCCCCCCCCATAAGAGATAGTAACGTATAGTTTTGCTAAGGGCAAGGGCACCAGGCTGGGGTTAAGGGTTAAGCCTTGGTCAGTTTGGTGTGTACCATTTAATCAAGGCTTTGTGCCCTAGTTTCATATGTTTACAGCAGAAAGTAACCCATTTATTACTGAAAATCATGCCACAAAAGTATTTGAATTTTTCCTGGCAGGAGTTCTTGAGTGGCCCAAATGGACCTGGTGTCTCTGGAAACAAGCTGTGCTCCCCGTTCTTGGAGAACTACAGCTCCCGAGAGAGGCAGAGACCCCAAGGTCTAGCTATTCCCAAAGTTTCATGGGGTCCTCATTGTTGTCAAGGCCTTGGCAAATTGACCAAGACTTAACCCCTATTGTGCAGTCTGGTACCTTTGTCCTTTGCAGAACTATAAGTCACCATCCCTTGTTGGGGGGGGCATGCTCGACGTCATTCCTCCCTTCGAGGCTGGAAAATGGCCACACTCATTTTCCCAAAGCCTCGACAATTCTTTAGCACCCAGGGCCTCTGTCTAGACAGATCAGATTGTATTTTGGTGACTATTTATGGGGCCCAACCTAAGCAACATAAGCTTGCTCGACGTCAATGTGCAGTGTGCATAGGAATTATAATCCGGCCCTCCAACAGTTGGAGGGATTGTGACCTGGCCCTCTGTTTACAAAGTTTGAGGACCCCTGCTCTACACAGTTGTGTGCTCTCTCCTTTCACTTCCTTGCTAGCCCCAACAATGTAACAAGTCGCTAAATAAAGACTGATCAAATTGCAACTTTCAAACTCTAGCTCAGTGGTTCTCAACCTGGGGTCACTAGATGTTCTTGGCCTACAACTCCCAGAAATCCCAGCCAGTTTAGCAGCTGTTAGGATTTCTGGGAGTTCAAGGCCTAAAACATCTGGGGACCCCAGGTTGAGAACCACTGCTCTAGCTGGATACTTTGAGTCTCTTTCTTGCCTGAAACTATCTAAATGCATGAACCTAACCTTTTCCAGGCCGCGGGAGACTGCAGGCCTGCCTGGAATGCTTTCCTGGCGTTCCAGGGAGGCTGAATCTGCGCTCCTCCAAACCACGGATACGGAAACCCCCAGGGGCCCCCGTATCCGCGAGATGGTGGATCGCCTCCATTTTGATGGCATATTTTTCCTAGCTTAATTCTAACACTATCTGCTATCTCGCTTTTTGCCTTTCGGGCTTCTACGCTCGGGGAATAAACTTTTAAATTTTAAGAATATAATTCCAAGGAAACAGCTGATTTATTACTTATTTATTTATTTATTTACTTTGCTTATATACCGCTGTTCTCAGCCCGGGGGCGACTCACAGCGGTGTACAACATAGAAAGAACAAAAATCAAGACACAGTATAAAAAACAATTCACCCCTGTCGAGCTCCCAGCACAGATCATCCACTAAGGCGACCAAGACTGTCTCAGTTCCATGTCCCGGTCTGAAACCAGACTGTGC